GATGAAACCTTGCCCACTGCAAACAAGACAGTGAATCAGCGATGACATTTAAAAAACCCGACACATGACATGCCCGAAAGACAATATGACATTTCATACAGTACAAGACAAGGTGGGGAAGAAGCCGAACCACTAGACTAGAGGAAGCAGACAGCCCATTTACTGCGGCCATTACCGACATATTATCCGTAAAAAATATAACCTTCTTATCCTGCAACTGGCAACCCCACAAAGCTAATGTTACTACCAGGGGATAAAGCTCTAGAAAAGCTAAATTGCAGATAAGCAGGCCAGCCTTCCATTCCTCTGGCCACGCTCCAGCACACCATTCGCCCAAAAAGCAAGCCCCAAAACCCACACTTCCAGATGCATCCACAAATAACTCCAATTCTGAAAAGGAAACTGCTGAATCCTGAAAAAAGACCCGCCCATTAAACTCATGGAGAAAAACCACCCAGACATCCAAATCAGCTTTCATCGATACCACGACCCGAATGAAATGATGAGGGGACACCACATCCCCAGTTGCCTTTGCCATGAGACTGTTAAACACCCTACCGATAGGAATTATACAACATGCGAAATTCAAATGGCCAATCAACGACTGTAATGTTCGTAACGTAACTTTTTTGGCTTCCCTGACCTCCGACACTGCCTGACGAAGAGCAAGCAATTTGTCTTCTGGCAAACAACATTCTCTCCTAACGGAATCTATCTCCAAGCCAAAAAAACTCAAACACGTCGTGGGACCCACTGTCTTGTCACCTGCCAAAGGTACCCCAAAAACATGCGCCATCCATTCCAACATCCTCAATCCAATTCGACAAGCTTCCGAACTGGAAGGGCCGATGCACAGGAAATCATCCAGATAGTGGATCACAAATTTTGTTGCTGCCTCGACCCTGACCACCCACTCCAAAAAGGTGCTACATTTTTCAAAATAGGCGAGGGAAATAGATCACCCCACGGGCAAACAGAGATCTACAAAATACTTGCCCTCAAAATAACAGCCCAACAAATGATGACACTTAGGCTGAATCGAAGGAGACGAAATGCCGATTCCACATCTGCCCATTGGCGGATCCAGGGGGGGGGCAACGGGGCAATTGCCCCCCCCGAGATTCCCCCCTGCCGGCTAACGCAGGGCTGGCATTGCCCAAGTGCCAGCCCTGCAATGTGCCTGCGGACCGGGGAGGAAGATCAGAGATCTCCCTCCCCGGTCCGCAGGCACTGTGCTGACAGCCGGCGGCGGAGGGAGTGAGAGAGAGAGAGGACAGGGAGCTCAGTCTGCAGCTCCTCCGGGTCCTCCTCTCTCGAGATTTTGAGCGTTGCCGCGGTTACCACGGCAACGCTCCAAATCTCGCGAGAGTGAACTCTAGCCCAGGAGCGCGGGCTAGAGTTCACTCCAACCACTGGGACCACCAGGGAATCACCACTGGGACCACCAGGGAAATGTCCCCCCTCCTCCTAAATAAAGGTAAGAAGGGAGGGGGGACATAGAATATTTATTTTATTAAATTAAAAAAAAGATTATTGTAACGGACCGTTTTGCACACAATGGGTAAAAACCGTTTAGGCGATCGGCCCCCTTTCCAGAGATCCAGGCACAGCTACTGCAGAACACCAAAACTCCCGAACTGGATACAAAATAGCACTCCAACTCCCGAACTGGAAACTCCCAAATAGCTGCTAGCAGACGAACAGGAAAAGCAGACGAACAGCTTACACTCCTGGCAATCAGTCTCTAACAGCATACAGTGAATCCCCCCAAGAACGAGACAAGGCTCCGTGTTGAGGGTCAAGCAGTGGTCTGAGGTGCTGGCACACCCAGCCTGGTTTTTATTACAGTGTTTCAAATACAGGACCACCCACAGGGAGGGATAAAACAACCAATCATATCACAGTTACATCCCACATATTCCCTCCCCTTATCCTGAGAGGAAACTCAATTATACAAACAGTTAAAACATACTTTCTACCCAACTTTCATAACTCCAAAACCATACATCACATTCACATAAAATTACATATTCTCAATCAATCCATTCAGGGGAACAACATATTCAAAAATGGCACAAATCAGACAAGGGGTTCAAAAGTTAGTAAAAAGTCCTTTGGGACTAAATGAAGCATGGCTTTCTGGCCCAAACCAGTTTCAGAGTCTTCTATCCTGGAGAGTAATTCAATTATCTCCCAGGACAGACACAAGACTCCATTAAGCACATGGTTGCAAAAAGACACAAAACACTTTAAAATACATAAAGTCACATTTATTACATAAAACACAGACATGTAACATATCCCCAGATAGCTCAGGTCCGAGCGCACATTATTAAGTGAATGGCGCTCAGACCACACGAATACAGTTTAATCGCCATGGAGCTAAAGTCTTTACAGTCAGTTTCATACGAATGGGCTCCATGGGATTCCTATCTGGGGTATAACACATTCAAACAAATCTACCGAACCCCAGGCAGAAAAGCACGAATACAGCTTTTCTGCAGGCAAAACTAAAGTCTTTTAAAAGGGGCCATAGTCCAAAGGCAGCAGGCGAGCAACCAGGCTTCTCCAATGCAATGTGGCGAGATTGGTCTCGTCACAATGTTCCACTAGCTGCACATCTAGGTTCCCGCCGCACAGCCTATAGGATCATGCAGAACTTCTTTTGGCCAAACTTTAATCAGGCTGTTCGGACATATTGTAGTACGTGTGAGACATGTCAACGGGTAGGAAAGCGGGGGGACCACCCAAGAGCTAGGCTTATGTCTATGCCTATCATTGGGGAGCCCTTTGACCGCATAGCCGTTGACATTGTGGGTCCACTGGCCAGGGCTAGTCCATCCGGTAAGAAATATATTCTCACCGTGGTGGATTATGCCACTCGCTATCCAGAGGCAGTAGCGCTGTCTAATGTAGAGGCAGAGACAGTTGCTGATGCCCTGGTTAGGATTTTTACCAGAGTCGGGTTCCCTAAAGAGATTCTCTCTGACCAGGGAACCCAATTTACTGCTGTGCTCACCCAGCAACTGTGGAAGGTGTGCGGCATTAAACCGCTGCTTAGCTCACCTTACCATCCACAGACTAACGGTCTCTGCGAGCGATTTAACGGTACCCTCAAACAGATGCTGAGGACCTTTTCTGACACTTGCAGAGACTGGGAGCGATTCCTGCCTCATCTGTTGTATTCCTACAGAGAGGTGCCCCAGGAATCTACTGGGTTCTCCCCCTTTGAGTTGCTATATGGGAGAAGGGTCCGCGGACCCCTAGATCTCATTAGAGGCCACTGGGAGGGAGAGACAGAGCAGGAAGGGACCCCCATAGTACCGTATGTTCTGGAACTCCGGGACCGCATGGAGAAACTGTCTCTAATGGTAAGGGAGAATCTCCAGGTGGCTCAGGGGAGACAGAAGAGATGGTACGATCGGGGTGCCCGACAGCGAGTCTTCCAGGTTGGGCAGAAAGTGTTAGTACTCAAACCTGTGAAGGCAAACAAGATGCAGGCATCTTGGCAGGGCCCGTATAAGGTGTTAGCGCAGGTATGTGATACTACCTACCTTATAGCCAGCTGTTCGGATGAAAGGATCCAGCGATCCTTCCATGTGAACATGCTAAAAGGAGTATAAGGAGAGACCAGAGAATGTCGCTGCAGTATGTGCCCCTGCTGCAGATGATACAGAAAGTTTACCCTTACCAGATTTGTTAGAGAGGGACCCCCAGACGGATCTTACTAGCCTGGTACAGCTAGGGGACAGATTGAGCTCCACCGAGAAGGGCCAGGCAAGACAGCTTCTGTGGGAGAAGCAGGCGACGTTCTCCCAAGAACCTGGCTATACAACCCTAGGTGTACACAAGGTAGAAACCCCTGGACAGAACCCTCTGCGACAACCCCCTTACCGTATCCCTGAAGCAGTCCGAGAAGGAATGCGGAAGGAGATACAGGAGATGACCCATCTTGGGGTCATCGAACACTCTGATAGCCCTTGGGCTTCGCCTGTAGTCCTGGTGCCAAGAAGGATGGGACCACCCGGTTCTGTGTGGACTACAGGCGCCTCAATGAGCAGACCACCATAGACCTGTGCAAAGGCTACTGGCAGATTCCCCTGGCCGAGGATGCTATCCCCATTTGGCCTGTACCAATTTAAGGTCATGCCATTTGGGAAGAAGAATGCACCGGCTACCTTCCAGCGTATGGTGGATAGACTTCTTGATGGATTCCAGGAATTTGCTTGTACATACCTGGATGACATTGCGATCTACAGTGAGTCCTGGGAGGAACACCTGGTACATGTAGGGGTAGTACTGGACAAAATTCGGGCCGCTGGCCTGACATTGAAGCCAGAGAAGTGCCATTTAGGCATGGCTGAAGTGCAGTACCTGGGTCACAGAGTAGGGTGTGGGAGCCAGAGACCAGAACTAGCCAAGATAGAGGCAGTAGCTAACAGGCCCACACCTATCACTAAGACCCAGGTGTTAGCCTTCCTAGGGACAGCAGGGTACTATAGACGCTTTGTCCCCGACTACAGCACTATTGCTAAACCCCTGACTGATCTAACGAAGAAAAACCTCCCTAAACAGGTCCTGTGGTCTCCAGCTTGTGAAGCTGCCTTTCAAGCACTCAAACAGGCTCTTGTGAATGCCCCTGTCCTGGCTGCCCCAGTCCCTAACAAACATTTTCTCGTCCATACAGATGCTTCCATGTATGGACTGGGGGCTGTGCTGAGCCAGGTCGGGGAAGATGGAGGAGAGCACCCTGTCGCATATCTCAGCAGAAAGCTGTTACCCAGAGAAGTGAGTTATGCGGCAGTGGAGAAGGAGTGTTTGGCCCTGGTGTGGGCATTGAAAAAGTTAAGCCCTTATTTATATGGACAGGAATTTTCCCTTGTGACGGACCACAATCCCCTTGTCTGGCTTAACCGGGTCTCAGGAGACAATGGCAGACTGCTGAGGTGGAGTTTAGCACTACAACCCTATAACTTCACCATCAGCTACCGACCCGGTAAGCAGAACGGGACAGTATGGACTTTTACCCAGATAGCCGTCCCATGGAGTCATTCGTATACCGAAGGACTGGTGAAAGACCGACTCCATGGCGATTCGACTAGATACATCGGATCTGAGCGCTATTCGGTGAAAATGTGCACTCAGATCCAGGCTGTCTGGGGATACGTTATACGAACTATATCCATTCGGTATTTTCCCAGTTATGTATTTTAATGTATTTTTGTTACTGTATTTTAAAATGGCGATTGTCTCTACCCTGGGAGATAATTAGGTTTCTTCCTAATTATCTCAGGGGTAGAGAAGACGGATTTATGGGTAAGATGGGAAGGGCTTATATTGAAGCCACTGCGATTGGCTACTGTATAATATATTTTACAGTCTTCCACAAGGTCCCCTCGGGGAGTGTCCACCTTGTGGAGACCTGCATAAATACCGGGCAGGTAGCCCCCATTAAACAGATCCTTATTTGACCCTCAAGACGGAGCTTGGTCTCGTTTGTGGGGGAATTATTACTGGGACAGCGCTTTCGTTATTTTTAGCTGTGGAAGGCGTTCGACTGTTTTGCTGATCGGGAGTTGCCGTGTTCGTGAACTTCGTTCGGGAGTTTGGCGGTCGGCTGGATATAAACTGCATTTCTGGAGAGGGGGATTATACACTAAACGGCGGCTTCATCTACCTGGCGGTGAGTGTCTTAACAGAACCATCGCAAGCAATAGAATTCCTGGGATTCACCATAGACGCGTAACACTCCTACTCCCAACGCCCAAGGTCAAGGCCAATCAGAAAGGAGCTCAGGCGGACGCTAACACGTCCTGTCCTTACTTTGAGACAGCTGGCCAGGATTGTAGGCCTCCTCTCGGCGTCAATTCAGCCCATCTTTCCCAGACCCCTACACTACAGGGCACTTCAACGATCAAAGGCAAAATACCTTAGTTTGGGGTGCCGCCAAAGACTAAATCAAGTGGTGGCTACAACACATGTGTGACGAGACCAATCTCGCCACATTGCATTGGAGAAGCCTGGTTGCTCGCCTGCTGCCTTTGGACTATGGCCCCCTGTTAAAAGACATCTTTTTTTACCTGCAGAAAAGTTTAATTCGTGCTTTTCTGCCTGGGGTTCGGTAGATTTGTTTGAATGTGTTATACCCCAGATAGGAATCCCATGGAGCCCATTTGTATGAAACTGACTGTAAAGACTTTGGCTCCATGGCGATTAAACTGTATTCGTGTGGTCTGAGCGCCATTCACTTAATAATGTGCGCTCAGACCTGAGCTATCTGGGGATATGTGAAATGTCTGTGTTTTATGTATAAAAGGTGACTTTATGTATTTTAAAGTGTTTTGTGTCTTTTTGCAACCATGTGCTTAATGGAGTCTTGTGTCTGTCCTGGGAGATAATTGAATTACTTATCTCCAGGATAGAAGACTCTGAAACTGGTTTGGGCCAGAAAGCCATGCTTCATTTAGTCACAAAGGACTTTCCCTTAACTTTTGAACCCCTGGTCTGATTCGTGCCATTTTTAATATGTTGTTCCCCTGAATGGATTGATTGTGAATATGTATTTTTATGTGAATGTGATGTATGGTTTTAGAGTTATGAAAGTTGGGTAGAAAGTATGTTTTAACTGTATGTATAATTGAGTTTCCTCTCAGGATAAGGGGAGGGAATATGTGGGATGTAACTGTGATGTGATTGGTTGTTTTATACCTCCCTGTGGGCGGTCCTGTATTTGCAAGACTGTAATAAAAACCAGGCTGTGTGTGCCAGCACCTCAGACCACTGCTTGACCCTCAACACGGAGCCTTGTCTCGTTCTTGGGGGGATTCACTGTATGCTGTTAGAGACTGATTGCCAGGAGTGTAAGCTGTTCGTCTGCTTTTCCTGTTCGTCTGCTAGCAGCTATTTGGGAGGTTCCAGTTCGGGAGTTGGAGTGCTATTTTGTATCCAGTTCAGGAGTTTGGTGTTCTGCAGTAGCTGTGCCTGTATCTCTGGAAAGGGGGCCGATCGCCTAAACGGTTTTTACCCCTTGTGTGCAAAACGGTCCGTTACAACATGGAAGCCTGGAATGGCCGCGCGATCTTCGGAACAGCTTCGGAACCTCATAGTGGAATCCAATGCAAGCTTTCTCGGTTCGGGTGCGCGCTACGGACCTTTCTTTACCGGAGGAAGATGGTCCAGGGAGGAACAGGGACTTCATATCAATTGCCTCGAACTGTTGGCAGGTTCGTTTGCTTTACGGAGTCTTTTGAACGTGTCGACCAACTGTTCCATCCTATTACACATGGACAACGTTTCAGCGGTCTGTTATATCAACCACCTCGGGGGCACGAGGTCAGCAATACTTGCGGAATTAGCGAAGGTCTTCTGGCAGTTCTGCCTGGATCGCAACATTTCAGTGCAAGCGGAATACATCCCAGGGATGAGCAATGTAGTAGCAGACTGGAACTCCAGACATCTACGAGATGCCAGTGACTGGCGGCTGAACCCGGCCACCTTCAGCCATTTGCAATCACTGTGGGGACCACTGGACATCGACCTGTTCGCCTCACGACTAAACACGCAGTTACTGAGGTTTTTCAGTTCGAGGCTGGATCCGGAGGCTCTAGCGACGGACGCTTTTCGACAACAGTGGCCGAACGCCAGATATTATGCTTTTCCCCTCTTTTCTCTCATCGCACGGACCTTGCTGCACCTCAGACGACACCGAACTTCTCTAATCCTCGTATCTCCCTTCTGGACGTCTCAACCCTACACTCCTGGAACTGTCCATAGATCGTCCGAGGTTACTACTGGTACACGACAACATTCTCCTGGATCCCTATGGCAATCCACATCCCCTCATACTGCAGGGACATCTCAAGCTTTTGCCATGGCTCCTCTCAGGGGACTCGATGGCATCCCAAATGTTCCACAAACAACTCTGGACTTACTGGCAGAAGCTTGGGCCCCAGGTACAAGGAAATCATATTTACATGCCTGGAACGCATGGCATAGTTGGTGCATGGAACAACACGTGGATCCCATATCTGCAACTGTGAGTGAAGTCTTGGGTTTTCTCACTTCCCTTTTTGACCACAGCCTGGCATATCGTACAATTAATCTATATAGGTCAGCTATCTCAGCAGGCCACGTAAGTTGGAATGGAATTCAAACAGGGAAACATCCGATGGTATGTCGACTCCTATGGGGCATAAAATTTGCACGACCACCACAGCCTAGGTATTCAGAGGTATGGGATGTGAACCTCGTTCTCCGACTTTTTGAAAGTTGGCCAAGGAACGAAGACTTGTCGATCAAGCAACTCATCGCAAAATTGGTTACGTTGTTTTGTCTCATCTCATGTAAGCGGGTCTCAGATGTATGAGCATTGGACATTCAGGCACACTCATATACACCGGAAGGGGGTGATACAAAAACGTCCATCACAAAGGTTTTTTACTCAGTTTTTCCACATAACAGTAACTTATGCCCAGTAGCCTGTCTCAAGGAGTACGAAACAAGGACGGCGGCGGTCCGAGACCCTCAATGTGCTGACCTATTCCTGGCTATTCGACAACCGCATCGTCCGGTTTCTGCAGTCACCATATCTCGCTGGGTCACATGGATCATGACGTCGGTAGGCATTAATACTTCCACATACGGAGCACATTCAGTGAGGGGTGCGATGGCATCAAAAGCTTTTTCATTAGTCTGTAAATTGGAAGATCTCCTCCGGGCAGCCGATTGGTTGAGAGAATCTACATTCCGTGAATTTTATTTCCGCCCGGTTTCCCTTTTTTCCACGTCAGTGATCACACAGCTTTGAACTAGCATAATAAGAGCCTCCGTGTCCTTTAATAAAATTACCAGATTTTACTAATTTCATGACGTAAAGTCATGATTTTATAAAGGACACGGAGGCGAGTATTATCCCACCCAATAGAGGTAAGTTGCCCTCCTCTGGAAATGTAATGTATGTTATGGGACGTGAGCAGTGTGATCATGTGTTATTTTATTTTTCTATTTGAGTGAATAACATGAGAATGATCTGGTGTTTAGATAACGTGGGAATATGAACGTGGAAAAATATTATCCAAGAACACATTTTTCCATCTTGTTTCTCTGTCTTACAGCTTCCTAATTGGAGTGCCATAATGGTCCAGGCATACCCGGAGGTGTGCAGATGGAGGATGACCAGGTTTTTCTTCGGGGTTTTTTGTTTTTTTTCCCGACGTCATCTTCTACTGGATTCACTGTTCTCTATACAACTACTGTTTTTTTTCATTGCGGACTATTAGAGTGTCCATCAGCAACACCAAAAGAAAGAGGAGTGGCTTAGGGTCACATGGGAGTTTATTGTAATAGGGACACTCTGATTGGTTCATATGTGGTATTTGGTTAACCCTTTGGAAGTTGTGATGTAGTGTTATTGAATTGTTTTCTTTTTTCATTGAATATATATACAATATTTTCTTTTGCTGCTGAGGAATAAAAGAAAGAGGAAAGCATAATAAGAGCCTCCATGTCCTTTATAAAATCATGACTTTACGTCATGAAATTAGTAAAATCTGGTAATTTTACTGATACTTTCTAACCGACATCACTTTTCTCTTTTACTTACACAACTCCATACAACCAATCATACTCGCATTTAAGTTCCTGGGACTACCTACTCATCTGATGAAAATATCTACATAAGTGGCAATTATGCTGGTTTTATTTAATTAATATAAATTAATTAAAATATAACAGCATGATATATGACTGGATAAATCACGGTCAGATTTTAATATTTAGAAATCTTAGTTAACTAAAGAATATATAGTTATAAACATTCCATTCTGCAGGTGGAATTAAGAATAATTATATATTAATGTGATATTATCACGTGTTAGCATTCCACTGTTTTTATCCAGGTGTATTGATATGCTATAAAATAAGATGATATATTTTTAGGCAAATTAAAATTTGGCTTTTGTAAAAATCTGGTAGATTATTCTTATTGGATGGTTCCAGGAAACGATTGAGCTGGTTCGAATGTTATTTTAATTGAAAATCACATGAGAATAGGATATTATATGCCTAGGAGGATCTAGCCAGCATTGAAAGGGTTACTCAGTTGATTTAACTGTTAGCCAAGGTTTTATGGCTTTTTGCTGGAAGTTTAGCTTTCTGTGTCTGTGATGTACCCTCATAAATCGTGTAAGTCTTGACAGTTGATGATGTAGCTTTGTACTGTGTTTAGCCATTGCCATTGTATATGGCGTTATACTAAATATTCACTGATTATTATCATGCATGCTGCCTAATATTATTATTTTATTTGTCATAATAAATTATATATATTTTTATAACAAATTGTGATTTTGTTTGTATGGAATACATTTCACTTACATGATAACGATCTCTAAGATCTAAGAGAATTGAAATAGTGGGCAATTCTCAACTGTATAATAGTATCATCCCATAAATATCCCTCCATGGTCCCCCAGATTGGGGCTATCAAGGGATGTGACTTTTCTGGGGTTTCCGTGTACTTTCGGGAGGTTGTTAAAATGTATGTTTTCTGTGCCTGAAGATAATTGAGTTTAGTATAGTTCCTGAGTTAATTATCTCCCAGGCACAGGAGAGGGATTATCTTGTTTTGTGTGGAAGTGTCCGGGACCTGGGAGCCAATGTAATCATGTGTATGTTTTTGCAGTAGTCTACTCTCAGGTTCAGTGGGGAATGCCCCTGGAATATGTAACCAGAAACCCCTTGCATGGGGACCTGCATATAATGCCAGCTGTGGCTGCCATTAAACAAGTTCCTCTTCTCCCTCAACATAGAGCCTCGTCTCATGTGTGGAGTGGACAGCTATATTCACTCTGGGGATTGCTATAATCACTATACTCCCTTGGATTACAACACTTGCTCTTGTAAGAGCAGCCTGCTTTACTTTCTGGACTAGGAGAGGTCTACCCACTGGAAGCTGGATCCTGGTCTTGGGTGCAGGGTGGGTGAAGGACAGTGAAACCCCAACCAAGCTGTAATGCTGGCTGTGTGGTTTACAGTGGTTATGGTGTCCAGTGCGGTGCTTATGGTACTCAAGGATTACTAGGAAGCAGCGATTGGCGGAGGCCCCCAGTCAGGGTGCCAGGCGGTCGGCCACACTCCCCTTCTGCCTTTGATTTTCATTCTGGCACAATTGAGATCTCTTTCAGTAAAACTATCATTGTTGCTGGAGTCTACCGCCCACCTAGCTCTCCATTGCACTCCCTTTCTGACATAGTCCAACTACTAAGTGAAACTGTAGCTCAAAACCAAAAAAGTGAAGTGTTAGTTTTTGGAGATTTTAATATTGATTGGCTGAATCCTAGAAATAATAAATCATGTACGCTGTTTAAGACTTTTCAGCTAACACAATTAGTTTCCTTCCCAACTCGCATTAATATTAAAAGCCAGAACCATACCTTGCTAGATTGGATTCTCTCCAGTTGTCCTGACAGAATCCAAGAGCCGGGAGTTTCAGTGACCACTGTCTAGTGTACTGCATACGCAAAATAAAGGCCACTAAATCCCCTCCTAAGATTATAAGCACCAGGTCTCTCAAAAAAATTAAACTTCAATCCTTTTTACGTTGTATCTCAAAAACATACCATGGCACAGATTAGGTTAAATACCAGATTTAGACTCTGCAATTGCATTTTTTCAGTCCAAGCTCTTGAGTGTTTGGCATTTGCATGCCCCTCTGCGTAAAGTGCCCTGGGTTACAGCTAACCTCATTCAAATGTACCAGTTTAGACATTCACTGTGGTCAAAGTTCAAGAGTACTGGCTCCATGAATGATCACTGTACTTACAGACAATGGCAAAATGCATGCACAAAACAAACAAATGTCAAAGGCCCAAAATTTCTGTGAAAATTTGAACAACCTATCAAACCCAAGAAACTTCTGGAAAATCATACTTAGCACACAAACCCACAATCCACTCCCAACCCTCTACTGTCAAAATAGATAACCAAACGCTGCAACACCCCCTAGATTTAGCAAATACCTTTAATGTTTATTTTGTTGGATGTGCTACCACCTTAGTTGCCAAGATAACAAATAACACTCATTTTCAGACCGCAAATAAAGATCAGGCCCTGCCAAATTTTCAAAATCCTTATACAGAGAAATTCAATTTTAGACCTGTGCCTGTTAGTGTGTCTAATAAACATCTTAATAATTTAAAAATGAAAAACCAGCGTGGACCAGATCAAATCCTAGCAATGTTGCTGAAGCTCAGTACACCAGCAATTGCTACAGCTGTCACTACCCTTATCAATAAATCCCTGGTGTCAGGATACATACCTAAACTTTGGAAGACTGCAAAAGTTGTACCTATCCATAAAAGTGGTGACAATACTTTGGTATCTATCGCCAGATATCATTGCTACCTGTATTGTCAAAAATCTTGGAAAAATGCATCCACATGCAACTATGTGAATATTATCAACTATCAAATTATCTGACCCCAGTACAAATCAGTCAACTTCGACTGCCCTCTTAAAAGTTTGCAATGACATCCAAATTGGCATGGAACAAAGAGACTTAACTGGAGCTATTTTCCTTGCTTTTGCCAAGGCCTTTGACACAGTAGTTTTTTTCCCACACTGCAAACCCACCTTAATAAACGTAATACATTATATAATTAATTCTGCCGCTTTGTACTAGAATGTAATTACTTTACCCACCACTGTGACATGTAAAGAGAGCTAAACTGGCTGTCTCATTCGCATTCTTCATCTTTCCAACCTTGTGCAGAGCATTTCTGGGAAGCTCCCACCCTACCTGAGTAGAAAGCTCTCCCCAGCTGTTCCCACCTCCTATAACCTTCGATCCAGTACTAGCATGATATTTAGCATACCGCAATAAAAAAAAAAAATTGACTCAATCCTCTTTTCTTAAGAGCACCGCAATTATGGAATAACCTCAGGAACATAGTAAAATCTTGAATCTAAACTCTTAAGAGATTTATGGCAATATAGCTCAGCACAGAATACACCTGTCATGGTTGAATATATTTATTACCTGTTATGTATTACATTTATACATATGTGTGTGTGTATATATATATATATATATATATATATATATATATATATATATATATACATACACACACATTTATATAGTTTGTATTTTTGTAATATTGTATCAATGCAATGTTTTGTGGACCCAGGACACACTTGAAAATGAGAGAAATCTCAATGTATCCTTCCTAGTAAAATATTTTATAAATATTGGCTAGTATTCCTATGGACCTGAGGAAGAGAGGAAGGCTCTTGAAAGCTTGTCTTTTACGTTATGTTAGTCCAATAAAAAAAAAAAAAAAAAAAAGTATCAATGTATACTGTAATCTGGTGTGTTTGGGTGTGTATACCTCACCTCCCCTCCCATCCCCCCACCCCTTTCCCTCCCCTAAGAAACCACAAAAAAGAAGGGTGGTGAAGGTGGGGTGGAAACAAATTACTAGTTCATTAGTTACACTTAACTTCAAACATTTTATTTCATTCAAAATTAAATTTAAAATTGGTTCAACATTATCAATTTTCTATTAAGGCACAGTGGTCAGTTCCTACAACTAGACAGTTCTCAGGCAGCCTATAATGAAATTCTACTCAATATAGCAAGTTCTCAAGTCTGAAAGCAGGCTTACTTTTAATTTGAAAAATAAATTTAAAAAAAAAAAAAAAACTTTTTAAAAATGGTTTGTCCTTTTTTTTTGTTTAGTTTCTTTAAATCCTATTTTGTTTGTGATGCTATACACAAGGCATGACAACTGACACCTTAGATGTTCTCCACAACACAGGTCCATATGGACAATTATGTTCAGGTCAGCCCATTTACCTAGAGCACTGGCTGCAAGAAAACTGCATGGACTGCTAGCAGATCCAGTTAAACAATAGCCCTGCCAGCAGTTTTAACAGCAACTACATGAAGTTTAAAATACAAAATCAATACACAGGTTTATCATCTAGGTGGATTTTCAAGTCCCTTGCATGTAGCTGCAAACAAAACTGAAAAGCCCTTTAAATGTTCCAAGCTGCCAACAGTCATATCTATGATACGGCAGCCTGTTACGGTCAATTAATTGTTTTTTTAAATAAAGAAGATTGGTTGATTTTTTTCCCCCCTCATGAAATGTTATTACTAACAACTCAAAAGATTTACAACCAAAACATGTTTTAGACAAAGATCATATATATATATATATATATTATATCGTGTAAAAAAAAAAAAAATCACCACATTGCCATATTTCTATTATGCTAAAACTTACATTAGTTACCGACACCACCTAACATGAAGTTATTATAACCTTACATATAAAATCCAATGTTTCGCAAAATTACAAGACATCCAAATGAGAGGCAAGTATTTCAACATGGCCAGTAATGCATTTGCATGATTTTTTATTTTATTTTTTATTATGAAATAGCACATGATTCAAATACATATGTAAAGTTATGGGATGTGTCCATTATGTATTTTATTGCAGAAGAAGTCAAACACTTCAAGGAACAAAGTAATGAGTGCTGTGCAATGACAGAAATAAACTATCACAAGCGTCAATAATATTTATTCCATGGTTGTGGACCAGACAATGCAGAGATGTCCTTTATCTGCAGGAAAAATGCAGACTTCTTTGAGCAATAAAAGTAAAACCAGGCATTTCCCCATAACCATTACTATACATTTGATATTTGTTGAATGTGCTTTTGTATAAATTGAACTAAAGTTGAAGGTTTACAGTCAATTGTAGCACTGCCGTATATCTGTACAATAAAGAAAGGGGTGGGGTGGGGGAGACATTAAAACCACATTCATTCTACAAATATAAAACTTGATTAGGTAGAATATTCGGGGGTAAACCAATATTGTGAGATTTTAAATAGTCATGTTGAGATTACATTGAAATATTAACTTTGTTTTTTGCAAACTCCTTTTCACTGTCAAGTAAAGCAATATCTAATGATAATGTCAAAAAGGCAAGTGTACTTGTTACTGAAGGACCACTAATGGCACCACTGTAATCTTCCTGCATAAATAAGATCCCAAACCATACACACACATTGTTGTTTCTGGCCTCAACTACACTAAGTATCAGGATATAAACTGAGTGCAGCAAGTCTTTCATTTGACCATAAGTGAATGGCAGTCATGTTTGATTGTTACTGTCCTGCACTCTCCTGCCCGGATGCAGAAGTTTCTGGTTGCACATTGTCTGCAAGGTTGTGTGCATGCTCTAAGAAAAGGTCTTTAAGCACACTCAGCTCTTTGGTAAGAAGCTTGATTTTGGCCTCCAGTCTTTCATTCTCCTCTTTTAACTGGTTGACTCTTTGCAGTGTGTCTTGAGCTTTTTGTTTGCTCTTCAATCGACTTTTTTTAACAGCCATATTGTTGCGTTCCCGCCGCAGTCGATACTCTTCGCTGCTACGGTCCATGCGTTGCCCTTTTTTGCTGTTCTTATTTGGGCCATTTGCTTTTGCTCCTCCAGGGTTTAGTGGTACAAACTGGTGTGAGCTTGGGCTCCCTGGCTGGGCATCACTCAGGCCCTCTGAGGTTGTGGATGGAGATAGGTTCATTGAAGTTCACTTTTTCTTGCAACAGCTGTGTGACAAGGAACTACGCACTGCAAATAAAGTAAAAATCTTTTATTTATTTTTTAAAAAGACATATCAATAATAAGATACCTTTGACCCCTTAAGGATGGGGGCAATTGGACAAGTTCTGATCAAAACAAAACCTGGAATTTGAGCTATTTGTCTTTTTAACCATAATTAATTTCTTTCATATTAAGTGCATCCACACTTACTATATATAAATTTCACTTTAAATATGTATGTATGAAATATAATTTAATATGAACAAAATCAAAAAATGTGTAAGGAATTAAGACATTGTGTTATTTTCTTAGTTCTGCATGGTATTTTAACTGTTAATATAATAATACTGTTAATATAATAATACTGTTAGCTTTTCCTGCAATAAAATACACATTTGTGATCAGTGATGTCTCATGGGTACAAAATTAGCCTTTATGTGCAGGTTTTATAGGATTCTGGAAAATTACAGGGTCAAATATAGGAGGGCTTCCCCCTTTTTAGTTCATACACTATGCCAGATTGGGATTTGCCAGATTGGGATTTGCTGTATGGCAGCCCATGAATGAAAATTACCTCCATCATGGCATACAATTTTCAAAAGTAAACAACCTAGATTATTAAAAATGGAGTATGTCCAGTCTTTTTAGTAGCCTCTTAGTCACAAACCCTGGCCAAAGTTTGTGTTCACATTTGTCTTTTTGCATTTTTCACGCAAAAAATGTCCCTTCGCTGACTATTGCCATTATATGTTTTGCTGCTCTAAAAACACTAATATTTGTTGTGACGAGACCAATCTCGCCACATTGCATTGGAGAAGCCTGGTTGCTCGCCTGCTGCCTTTGGACTATGGCCCCCTGTTAAAAGACATCTTTTTTACCTGCAGAAAAGCTTAATTCGTGCTTTTCTGCCTGGGGTTCGGTAGATTTGTTTGAATGTGTTATACCCCAGATAGGAATCCCATGGAGCCCATTCGTATGAAACTGACTGTAAAGACTTTGGCTCCATGGCGATTAAACTGTATTCGTGTGGTCTGAGCGCCATTCACTTAATAATGTGCGCTCAGACCTGAGCTATCTGGGGATATGTGAAATGTCTGTGTTTTATGTAATAAATGTGACTTTATGTATTTTAAAGTGTTTTGTGTCTTTTTGCAACCATGTGCTTAATGGAGTCTTGTGTCTGTCCTGGGAGATAATTGAATTACTTATCTCCAGGATAGAAGACTCAAACTGGTTTGGGCCAGAAAGCCATGCTTCATTTAGTCACAAAGGACTTTTTACTAACTTTTGAATCCCTGGTCTGATTCATGCCATTTTTTAATATGTTGTTCCCCTGAATGGATTGATTGTGAATATGTAATTTTATGTGAATGTGATGTATGGTTTTAAAGTTATGAAAGTTGGGTAGAAAGTATGTTTTAACTGTATGTGTAATTGAGTTTCCTCTCAGGATAAGGGGAGGGAATATGTGGGATGTAACTGTATGTGATTGGTTGTTTTATACCTCCCTGTGGGCGGTCCTGTATTTGCAAGACTGTAATAAAAACCAGGCTGTGTGTGCCAGCACCTCAGACCACTGCTTGACCCTCAACACGGAGCCTTGTCTCGTTCTTGGGGGGATTCACTGTATGCTGTTAGAGACTGATTGCCAGGAGTGTAAGCTGATTGTCTGCTTTTCCTGTTCGTCTGCTAGCAGCTATTCGTATGGTTCCTGTTCATTTATTTGGAGTGCTACCTTATTCCATTGTATGCCGTTCGGGAGTTTGGAGCATTCACTTATTGGCGGTTCGTGAGTTTTGGTGATTCTACAGTAGCTGTGCCTGTCTCTAAAAGGGGGATTATCGTCTAAGCGTTTTTTTCCCCTTTTGTGCAAAACGGTCCGTTACATTTGTATTCCTTGAAATCTCACGAGTACAATAAATAACCCACCTGCACAATTACAGAGTCAAATATAAGGCTTGCAAATTAAATTATCTGGACTTTCTGCCTGGGTTGTCAGGCAGATTCCAACATACATTTATTAAAATCACTTAATTATGTAAAAATAATACAGAAATATACACTTAGACTTAAATGTGTGTATACATAGTTTAATTCTATAAGTGTATATTTCTGTAATATTTTTACATAATTAAGGGATTTTATTAGTTGAATGTTGTGTGATCTGCCTGACAACCCAGGCAGTTCACATGACTCGGATCGGCTGGAAGGGGACTGACTGGACTGTCAGGCAGTGTACCCCAATCAGATCCGGCGACGAGAATGAGTATTTGGGCTGGAGGGAGGGCCCAATTGATAGGGTGTGTTAAAGTCCTCCTTTCGTAGGACGGCATAGCACACCCTAATGTCGGGAAAGGGTTAATAAATCTAAACCTATTAACGTTAGGTAGAAGTGCATATCACACGGAGCTACCATGAGTTCTGCTACTAACGTCAAGGTGTAGGAACTTTAATAATCTTCTGTGAATTATGGGAAATTATTCATATCATCCTGTAAGGTTTGAAAATGTGTTCTTTTTACATATATCGCACATCATTTATATAAAAAGTTCTACTCTGGACTAGAGAGCAGAATTTAGGCTCTGATGAATACATAGATTCGCTCCAAAAAGTTAAAGGAACACTCTGGATATTAAAACCACTTCATATCAATAAAGAGGTACCAGTGGCCAGAGTTCTGCAACACCTTCTTAACCTTATGCTAAACCATGTAACGCTTAACCTCTTAAGGACTGAGGCAGTTGTACAAGTTGTGATCAAAACATAAAACGCAAACAAAACCTTGAATTTGCGCTATATATCTGTTCAGGCGTAATTCGCCTCTTTCATGTTATGTGCACCCACACTTATCGTATATAATTTTGTTCAGGAGATGCAGGGCTTTTATGTCACATCAAATATTTGTATAATAAACATAAGTTAATATGAATAAAATTAAGAAAAATAGAATTTAAGAAATTATTTTTTTAGTTCTGCATGGCATTTTAACTGTGAATGTCACAATACAAGCTGCTACTGCAATAAAGTACACATATTTGTATTCAGCGATGTCTCACAAGTAAAACAGTACCCCCCAATGTTCAGGTTTTATGGTGTTTTGGAAAGTTAGAGGGTCAAATATAGCACATTACATTTTTAGTTTAAACACATTGAAATTTGCCAGACTGGTTTTGTTACCTTTGAGACCAAATGGTAGCCCAGGAATGAAAATTACCCCCATGATGGCATACCATTTGCAAAAGTAGACAACCCAAAGGATGACAAATGGGGTATGTCCAGTTTTTTTAGTAGCCACTTTTTTTTTGTTTCAAAAATGCAAAAAACTAAATTGAATGCTAATTTTGGCCAAAATTAGCATTCAATTTAGTTTTTTGCATTTTTCACACACAAATATGAACGCTAACTTTGGCCAGTGTTTGTGACTATGTGGCAACTAAATATGACTGGACATACCCCATTTGCAATACCTTGAGTTGTCTACTTTTGTAAATGGCATGCCATCATGGGGGTAATTCTCATTCATGGGCTACCATACGCTCTCAAAGGCAACATAACCGATCGGTCAAATTTCAAATTGAAAAAAAAAAAAAAAATTCAAGCCTTTTACTTGACTTAGTAACTTTTGAAAACACCATAAAACCTGTATATGGGGGGTTTTGTTATACTCGGGAGACTTTGCTGAACACAAATATTAGTGTTTCAAAACAGTAAAACGTATCACAACATAGTCAGTGAAAGTACAGTTTGTGTGTGAAAAATGCAAAAAAAAAATAAAAAAAAATCCCAGCATTTTCACTGACAATATCATCGTTGTGATATGTTTTACTGTTTTTAAACACTAGTATTTGTGTTCAGTGAAGTCTCCTGAGAAAAACAGTACATGTACAGTAAATCATGTACAGGTTTTATGGTGTCCTGGAAAGTTACAGGGTTAAATACAGGGCTTGTGAGCCGAATTCTCTGGACTTTCTGCCTGGGTTGTCGGGCAGGTCCCTCAGATTGCAATTAATAAAATTACCAAATATGTAAAAAAAAAAAAAAAAATTTATATATATATATATAATATATATATATATATATATTATATATATATATATAAATTATTTTTTTAATAGATACATATTTGCATTTATAACATTCTAAATGTATTTAGAATGTATTATATATGTATATTAATATCAAAACACAGTAAGAACAAATTAAAACCGGTTTTATAATTTTTGTTAAATATATTTTTATAATTTTATTATATTTATTTTTTTAATTCATTTGATTATTTTTAATATATACATATATATAAAATTAACGTCACTCGAAGTGTATTTTACTATTAACCCCTTCAGGACCGTCATCGGAAAAAATCCCCATGAGGACCGCTGAATGTCCTGAACCGTCATAACGGTAAGATGTCCTTACCCGATCGCCGTTGTTCCCCCGGCAGCAATCGGCGTTGCTCCTGGTGTGGGGAGAATGTCTGACAGCCCAGGCAGTCTCCCCGCGGCAGATTACGAACCCGCGGCCACGTGATCGCTCAACAGTATGGTAACAACAGGTGTCCAAGTGTCTGCCTGCAGGGGAACTGTCTGTGCTGACAGGCAGCCTCCCTGCATGTGTAAAATAAAAAAAAATAAAAAAGTTGATGCTAATAAAACATATGTGTGTGTGTGTATGTATGTAATTTATATATATATATATATTATATTTATATTATAATGTCTGTAGCGGAGAGCTGATATTCCACAGGTTATCTCCACTTAAGATCCCAGTGAGGCTCAGGAACAAGTATTATAAATACATAAGGCAAGGTTTTCAGCAGGCAAAACAATCCAACAATATCCCAACATCAATCCCAATGACTGGACGAAACACAGCATCAGGAGCAGAACTGAACTTTTAATCACTCAACCTGCCTTTAACCCCTTAAGGACCAAACCTCTGGAATAAAAGGGAATCATGACATGTCACACATGTCATGTGTCCTTAGGGGGTTAAAGCATTCTCCCATGCAAGGGAGGGATTTACAATCATTAGTACAGTATCAAATCATACATGAGTAGCCACCCACACATCTCCTCCTCCCTGACTCATAATCCCATTATGCAGGACACAAATTCCTAAACATAGGAAACATAGGCGTACCCCTTTAAATATACATCCCCTGGTAGCCCTGATCTGGGTGAGTGACATATCCAAAAATCACCCAGATCGGACCAGGGGTTCGGGAAATCTTTAGAAGTAATAAAAAGACAGACTGCGCTGGAGGGAACAGACGAAATTGGTTCCATGTGTTTTGGCCCTGCGGTCGGTCACAGAAAAAGGGAATAAACTGCACGAAAGACTTGGGCTATGGAGACTAGGGAGAGTTCGCATAAATACCTTTGTTCGGATATTTCTTCCTACCAAACGGGTGGGCGATCGGTAGTTTCTATCCGAATTTAAGGGCAGTGTGGAGGTCTCAGCGGTGTTTGCCTAGCAGAGTGTCCGATTTGAGTTCCAGACACTCGACGGCAAAACAACGCTGTTCGGGAGTTTAAAATGGCCGCCGCCACGTGTTCATCTCCCGAATGGCGGCAACCCAGAGAACAAAGAACCCACTACACGAATTGCCAATTCGTGTAAACGGTAATTGGAGGCACACTTACTACTTGGGTGGTCTGACTGTTCGGTAGTTTCACTCTCATAATAACTTGCAGTGATTCTACCGAACAATCAGCGAATGCTGCATACATTTCACATACATAGGTTACAATTCAACCAAACACATAGGAATAACTGTAATTTTTAGGACAGCCCAATGCCATCCGCTACACTGCTCCCCCTTGCCCACAAGCCAGCATACAGAGTCTGATCCAGCACGGATCGGCTTGGGAATGTCCGGGGTGCTCATGGATCATTTTTCCAAGTCTGTTTGTCTAGATAACCAGTCAGCATTTCCATTTTGTTTGCCCGGGCGGTACTGAATGTTAAAGTCAAAGGGCTGCAGCGCCAAACTCCAGCACAGCAGCCTGGCATTGTCCCCAGCCACCCGGTTTAGCCATACTAACGGGTTGTGATCCGTGAGCAAAGAAAAGGGCTGTCCATACAAATACAGCTGCAACTTCTTTAGGGCCCACACCACAGCCAGGCATTCCTTCTCGATGGCGGCGTAGCTTACTTCTCTGGGTAACAACTTGCGACTGAGGTAAGCCACGGGATGTTCTCCGCCATCGGCCCCGACTTGGCTCAGCACTGCCCCCAATCCAAACATAGAAGCGTCTGTGTGAACAAGAAAACGTTTAGTTGGATTGGGAGCTGCCAAGAGTGCATTTTTCAGATGTTGGAATGCCTGCTCACACTCCAGGTTACTTGGCGGGGAAGGTTCTTACGGGTCAGGTCAGTAAGGGGTTTGGCCAGGGCGCTATAATTGGGGACAAACTTCCTATAGTATCCCGCTGTCCTGAGAAATGCTAGCACCTGAGTCTTAGTCCTAGGAGTGGGCCATTGGGCTACGGCCTCTACTTTGGTTGGTTCGGGTTTCTGTTTCCACAGCCCACTCGATGTCCCAGGTATTGTACCTTGGCCATTCCTATACTGCATTTAGCCGGTTTCAACGTCAGACCGGCCTCCCCAATCCTGTCTAGAACCGCTCCTATATAGGCCAAGTGCTCCTGCCAGGTATTGCTAAAAATGGCAGTATCGTCTAAGTAGCACTGGAACCCACTGAGGAGTCGGTCCACCATCCGCTGGAAGGTAGCCGGAGCGTTTTTCAGCCCAAACGGCATGACTTTAAAGTGGTACAGGCCGAATGGGGTGACAAAGGCTGACTTAGAGATAGCATCCGGAGCCAAGGGAATCTGTCAATACCCCTTACACAGATTATATTGTAGTGAGGTATTGGCCTCTGGCCATCCAGTCTAGCAGCTCATCTATCCTAGGCATAGGATACGCGTCTGATACCGTTTTCTCATTCAACCTCCGGTAGTCCACGCAGAAGCGGGTCGTACCATCCTGCTTTGGTACAAGAACTACGGGAGAGGCCCAGGGGCTGTCTGAGGGCTCAATCACCCCCAGTTGGAGCATCTCATCAAATTTCCTTGCGCATACTCTCCCGCACTGCTTCAGGGATGCGGTAGGGGGTTTGGCACATGGGGAGTTGGCCTGGGGTTTCCACCCGGTGAGTGGCTAGAGGAGTGTACCCAGGCACATTAGAGAAGGTCTCCTGCTTCTCTCTTAGCAGCTGTTGTACCTCGGTACGTTCCTGTGGGCTCAGCCGGTCTCCAAGCACAACTTCCCCTAAATCTCCGGACCGCTGACAGTATCCCAGTAGATCTGGGAGGGGAAGGCTGTCAAACTCATCAGAGTTGGGTGCACAAATAGCTGTCACCTCTTCTGAACGTTCTGGTAGAGATTCATCATGTTTACATGGAGCATGCGCAGGGGCCAATTATAAGGGCCTTGCCAGGCAGCCTGTAACTTATGTCGGATAGGTTTTAAAATAAAAACTTTCTGCCCTACCTGGAAGTTACTGTCCCTGGTGCCTCGATCACACCAGGTGCGTTGGCGCATCTGAGCCGCCTGAAGGTTCTCCTTTACCGTCCTAGTTAGCACTTCTAGGCTGTCTCAGAGCGCCAACACATATGGTACAATGAGGGTACCGTCTATGCTCCGGTCTCCCTCCCAATGCTCCCTAATTAGGTCCAGCGACCTGCTTACTCTCCTCCCGAATAATAGTTCAAATGGGAAAATCCGGCACCTCCCTGTAAGCGAATAGGAGGTGAGGCAGGAATCGCTCCCAGTCCCGGTGGGTCTCAGCAAAGGTTCGGAGCATTTGTTTTAATGTACCATTGAACTGCTCGCAGAGCCCATTGGTCTGGGGATGATAGGGGGCACTGATTATAGGCTTACCGTCGCAGAATTTCCACAGGTGCTGGGTGACCTCTGCAGTGAACTGAGTACCCTGATCCGAGATGATCTCCCTGGGTAACCCCATCCGGAAGAAAATCTGCACCAGGGCCTCAGCCACGGTTTCTGCGTGGATATTCGTCAAGGTCACCGCCTCTGGGTAGCGGGTGGCATTATCTACCACTGTTAAAATGTACTTCTTGCCAGAAGGGCTAGGTTTCCGAAGGGGACCTATGATATCTACGGCTGTTCTATGGAATGGCTAACTCCTGGCCAAAAGAAACTCTGGGTCAGTCGGTGTCGGGTCCGACTGACCCCCAAATGCCTGTATAGCGGAATATCGTGAGCTATCCGGAGTAATTCGGCTCGGTACCTCTGTGGTACGACTAACTGCCTTAGCACAATTGAGTCTGTCCCAGCTACTGGCTTGTCTGACTCTCTGTATAACAACTGCCTATCCCATACAAATCTTTCCCCCTCCGTCCAAGGTTGGTCAGAGGTGACTTTGTCTCTATATACCTGTAGGGTGGGGTCAGTGATCACCTCTGCCGCAAATTTGTTAGGAGGGGCCCAAGGGACACAGTCTAGGGAAGGGGAGGGCTCTCTTACCTGAACCTCCTGTAGTGTATTGTAGTCCTGGGTGCGGGCCTGTTGCCTGGTGACCACTGGATGTGCTTCCTCAGTGATTGTGGTTTGGGGCTCAAAAGCAGAGGTGAGCTTTCCCAGGTCATTCCCTAGTACCACCTCTGCGGGTAATTGTGGCATCAACCCAACTTCCACATTTCCCGACCCCGCACCCCAATGCAAATTAACCCTTGCTGTATTCAGCCAGCATACGGCTCCCCCGGCAACCCTGACGGCCACAGTCCTACTGGTTTTGGCTTTGTCCGAGACCAAGTGGCTTTGGACCAAGGTTATGGTGACCCCGGAATCTCGGAGTCCCTGCACAGCTTTTCCCTCCAAGTAGACGGTGATGCTGTCGATTGTCAGCATTTGCTTGTAGCGGGTTGGCTTCATGTAGTACTTCCCACTGTTCTATGGTAGTGACGGGAACTGCAGAGCCATAAGCGGCGGGTGTCTCGTCCTGGTAGTGATGTGCCGCTGCTCTCAGTGATGGTGGACCTGGTCGGATCCACGTGGATCGGTCTCTAAGCTTCGAGCAGTCCCGCTTGTAGTTAGTGTCCCCACCTCTGGCACTGGTGGCATTGCACAGAGGGGGGTTGGCGAAACCTCGATTGAGCAGCTGTACGAGCTGGTGGGGGTAGTTGTCTCGGTGGTGCGTTTCCTCCTAGGGGTCGCACTGCTGGTTTAACACCCACCAGCTTGTGCTGCCTGCGAGCATCCATATAATCATCGGCCTTTTTAGCCACTTCTGTGATAGATGTGGGGTTAGGGTCTCTCACCCACTCCTGCAAGTCCGCCAGTATCCCGTCATAAAACTGTTCTAGCAGCAGCATTTGTAATAGGTCGTCCATGGGCCGTGCTTGGTTCGCTTGTACCCATCCGAGGGCTGCTCTTTGTAATCGGCAAGCCCATTCTGTGTGTGAGTCTTTGGCTGCTTTTTTCAATTCCCTGAAGCGCCTCCGGTATGCTTCTGGTGTAATATCATACCGGGCCAGGATTCTTTTACCCGGCTGTAATCTCTGATTTCCGTTATCTCGTATGGTACGGTATGCTTCAGCCGCTCTCCCCGTTAACCGTCCTGCTAAAATGGGGACCCAGTCTTCCCTATTTATTTTATGTAGCGTTCACAGTCTCTCAAAGTCCTGGAGGAATGCATCTATATATTCCTCTGCTTCTACATACATTTTAAACGCCTGGTATGGGATTTTCAGCTTACCCACTTGCACCATAGACACTGCTGGGCTTCTTTCTGGTGTTTGTGGCCTTCTTTTCCGCATTATAAATTCCTGGACCTCTGTCATCGTCTTGGAGATGATCTCCATCGGTGGGTTCTCCCCATAAAAGGACAGTCTGAATTGGAGCTGCCTTTGGAACTCTGCTTGCTCCGTTCCGTCTGTCGCATCCCTCTGTTCGCTGACCGAATCATCCTCTGTTCGGTATTCTGCCATAATTTCTCAGATGTTACCTTTGTTTTGTTGCTGGCTGGAATACCTCTTGTTTCCAGAAGATCTTTCAGTGTGGATCGTTTTAATGTGGAGTAATCAATCTCCATTAATCCTTATTCCTTTGTGAGTCTGGATCCCAGCGCTGCCAACCAATGTAGCGGAGAGCTGATATTCCACAGGTTATCTCCACTTAAGATCCCAGTGAGGCTCAGGAACAAGTATTATAAATCTATAAGGCAAGGTTTTCAGCAGGCAAAACAATCCAACAATATCCCAACATCAATCCCAATGACTGGACGACACACAGCATCAGGAGCAGAACTGAACTTTTAATCACTCAACCTTCTTTTAAAGCATTCTCCAAGCGAGGGATTTACAATCATTAGTACAGTATCCAATCATACATGAGTAGCCGCCCACACATCTCCTCCCCTTAGCCTGACTCATAATCCCATTATGCAGGACACAAATTCCCTGGGTTTCTGGATGTACCCCTAAACATAGGGGTACCCCTTTAAATATTACATCCCCTGGTAGCCCTGATCTGGGTGAGTGACATATCCAAAAATCACCCAAATCGGACCAGGGGTTCGGGAAATTTGTGGAAGTAATAAAAAGACCGACCGCGCTGGAGGGAACAGCCGAAATTGGTTCCATGCGTTTTTGCCTTGCAGTCGGTCACAGAAAAACAGTGCCACCATTGCCAACGCTGGGGACATTATAAAAGATCGCTCCACCTGGATCAGGCCCGGACTACCCCCACCACCTCGACAGGCAGCCCACTACTACCAAGCAGAGGCCACAAGTCCCTATGGCACCGCAATTCCCATAAACACAGTGGAACAATGGGAAGTATTGCATGAAGCGGATCCTGTGCAGGCGAATGCTGACAACCGCCAGCATCATAGACAGACTGTGTACTTGGAGGGGAAAGCAGTCCAGGGGCTCCGCGATTCAGGAGCCACCATCACACTGGTTAAAAGACACCTGGTACCTGACCAGGCCAAGACCAGCAGAACAGTAGCGGTCAGGGTAGCCAGGGGAGCAGTATACCGGCTACCCACAGCTCGGGTACATTTACATTGGGGAGCGGGGTTTGGGAATGTGGAGGTGGGGTTGATGCCCCAGCTGCCAGCAGAGGTATTGTTGGGGAACGATTTGGGCCAACTGACGTCTGCATTTGAACCCCAGACCCCAACAACCGGAGAGGCACACCCAGTGGTTACACGACAACAGGCCCGCACCCAGATCTACAACACACTCCCGGAGATCCAGGTAAGAGATCCTTCCCCTATTTTAGAATGTACCCCTTGGGCTCCCCCTACTGAATTTGCAGCTGAGGTAGCCACCGACCCCACCTTACAGATCTATAGAGACAAAGTCACCTCAGACCAGCCGGGAGGGGAGGGCAAATAATTTGTATGGGATAACCAGTTGCTATACAGGGAGTTTGACAAGCAGGCAGCTGGGTCAGACCCCATTGTAATGAGGCAGTTAGTGGTACCGCAACGGTATCGCGCAGTTTTACTCCGGATAGCGCACGATATTCCGCTATCCGGACATTTAGGAGTCAGTCGCACCCGGCACCGGCTGACCCAGAGTTTCTTTTGGTCGGGGGTTAGTCAGGAAGTCCGCAGGTACTGCAACACGTGTGACACGTGCCAAAGGGTAGGGAAGAGAGGGGACCGGCGGAAGGCAAAATTGCACCCGCTACCCATAATAGAGGAGCTCTTCAGCAGAGTAGCAGTGGATATAATAGGACCCCTGAAAACACCCAGCCCCTCTGGAAAAAGGTATATTTTAACTGTAGTGGATTATGCCAACCGATATCCAGAGGCAATTGGCCTGACTAACATACACGCAGAAACCGTGGCTGAGGCCCTGATGCGGATTTTCACTCGGATGGGCTTACCCAAAGAGATAATCTCGGATCAGGGTACCCAGTTCACTGCGGAAGTCACCCAGAGCCTCTGGAAATTTTGTGACATCAAATCGATTATTAGTGCCCCATACCACCCCCAGACCAATGGGCTATGCGAAAGGTTCAATGGGACCTTGAAGCAAATGCTGCGCACTTTTGCCGACACCCATAGTGACTGGGAACGGTTTCTGCCGCATCTCCTGTTTGCCTACAGGGAGGTGCCGCAGGAATCAACAGGATTCTCCCCATTTGAGCGGAGAGCAAGGGGACCCCTGGATCTTATCCGGGAACACTGGGAGGGTGACCGGAGTACCGACGGTACCCCTGTCATACCATATGTGCTGGCGTTTCTAGAGCGTTTGGAAGCGTTGACCAAGTCAGTCCGAGAGAACCTCCAGGCGGCTCAAACGCGCCAACGCACATGGTATGATAGGGGCGCCAGGGACCGCAGCTTCCAGGTTGGGCAGAAAGTTCTAGTTTTAAAACCAGTCCAACATGACAAGCTGCAGGCCTCCTGGCAGGGCCCATATAAAGTGATGGAGCAGACATGCGACACCACATATATAATTGGCGCCTGTACAGGGACTGGGGGGCGACGTATGATCCACGTGAACATGTTGAAGCCCTACCAGGGACGTTCAGAGGAGGTAACCGCGATTTGAGCCCCCTCCAATGAAGAGTTCGACAGCCTGCCTCTCCCAGATCTCCTGGGGGACGGCAGACTGTCCGGGGATTTGGGGGAAGTTACTCTGGGGGATCGGCTGAATGGGGTTCCATGCGATGGGGCTCTGCGGTCCATCGAGGTACAACAGTTATTAAGGGAGAAACAGGACACATTCTCCAATATACCTGGGTACACTCCTTTGGCCACTCACCGGGTAGAGACCCCAGGGCAGCTTCCCATGCGCCAAACCCCGTATCGCATCCCTGAAGCGGTGAAGGAAAGCATGCGTAAAGAGATTGAGGAGATGCTCCACCTAGGGGTGATTGAACTGTCAGATAGCCCCTGGGCCTCCCCTGTAGTCCTCGTACCCAAGCGAGATGGCAAAACCCGCTTCTGCGTGGATTACAGGAGGTTAAACGAAAAGACTGTATCCAATGCATACCCTATGCCCCGGATAGAGGAATTACTGGACAGGATGGCTAGAGGTCACTACCTCACGACCACTGATCAATGTAAGGGGTATTGGCAAATTCCCCTGGCGCCCGAGGCCATTCCTAAATCCGCTTTTGTCACCCCATTCGGTTTATACCAATTTAAGGTAATGCCGTTTGGGATGAAAACGAGGATGGTAGACCGACTCCTGGATGGATTTCAGGATTACACTTGTGCTTATTTAGATGACATAGCCATCTTTAGCAACACCTGGGAGGAACATTTGGCCCACATAGGGGCGGTGTTAGATAGAATCCGAGAAGCCGGATTAACCCTGAAGCCAGCTAAATGCAGTATAGGGATGGCAGAGGTACAGTACCTCGGGCACAGAGTGGGGTGTGGGAAGCAGAAACCTGAACCTGCTAAGGTAGAGGCAATAGCCCAATGGCCCACCCCCAGGACAAAAACCCAGGTCCTTGCTTTTCTAGGGACGGCCGGATACTACCGCAGGTTTGTCCCCAACTATAGTGCCCTGGCCAAACCCCTTACTGATCTTACCCGCAAAAATTTACCCCGCCAAGTAACCTGGACCCCGGAGTGTGAGAAGGCATTCAACCTGTTGAAAGATGCACTTGTTAATGCCCCTGTCTTGGCAGCTCCCGATCCAACTAAACGTTTTCTTGTTCACACAGACGTTTCTATGTTTGGATTGGGAGCAGTTTTAAGCCAAGTCGGGGCAGATGGCGGAGAACACCCCGTAGCCTACATCAGACGGAAACTACTACCCAGAGAAGTGAGCTACGCCGCCATCGAAAAGGAGTGCCTGGCTGTGGTGTGGGCCTTGAAGAAATTGCAGCCATATTTGTATGGACAGCCCTTTTGCTTGCTCACGGATCACAACCCGTTGGTCTGGCTAAACCGGGTGGCTGGGGACAATGCCAGGCTGCTGCGCTGGAGTTTGACGCTGCAGCCTTTTGACTTTAACATCCAGTACCGCCAGGGCAAACAGAATGGGAACGCTGACGGGTTGTCAAGACAAACCGACCTAGAGAAATGATCCGTGAGCCTCCCCGGACATCCCCAAGCCGATCCGTGTTGGTTCAGACTTTGTATGCCGGCTTGTGGGCAAAGGGGAGCAGTGTAGCGGATGGCACTGGGCTGTCCTGAGAATTACATGTGTTTGAATGCATTCATGTAAAATAGCAAAGTTATATGTGTTAAATGTATTGTATTCGTCTGAATGTTAGGTAGTTTCATTCCATTAGTTTGTTTGAATGAAACTACCGAACAGTCAGACCTCCCCTGTGTGAAGTGTGCCTTCAATTACCCGTTGCAACATTGTTGCGAACGGGTAATTGACAAGCTGAGTAGCCGTCCTTTGTTCTCGGGGGTGGCCGCCATTCGGGAAACGAACACGTGGCGGCGGCCATTTTAAAACTCCCAAACAGCGGTGTTTTGCCGTTGAGTGTCTGGAACTCAAATTGGGCACTCGACTAGGCGAACACCGCTGAGACCTCCACAAGCCCGGTCCGTTCGAGGGGATTCAGGCAAACCCTCCCTAGTCTCTGTAGCAAGAGGCTTTCGTGCAGTTTATTCCCTTACTCCAGGACCGACCGATTGGGAGCAGTTTTAAGCCAAGTCGGGGCAGATGGCGGAGAACACCCCGTAGCCTACATCAGTCGGAAACATCGCATGGAACCCCATTCGGCTGTTCTCTCCCGTGCGGTCGGTCATTTTATTCCCTCCATGAATTTCCCGAACCCCTGGTCTGATCTGGGTGATTTTTGGATATGTTGTTCACCCAGATCAGGGCTACCAGGGAATGTATAATTTAAAGTGGTACCCCTAAGTTTAGGGGTACATCCAGAAACGGGGGGAATTGGTGTGCTGGATAAGGGGATTATGATGCAGGCTGAGGGGAGGAGATGTGTGGGCGGTTACCAGAGCAGGATTGGCTACTGTACAAATTAATGGAAATCCCTCCCTTGCATGGGAGCAGGCTTTATAAGGCCACTGTGTGAATAAATCTTTAGTTCTGCTCCTGATCCTGTGTGTCGTCCAGTTATTGGGATTGCTGTTGGGAAACTGCTGTGTTATTTTGCCTGCTGGATACTTTACCCTATGGATTTATAATTGCTTGTTCCTGAACCTCCCTGGGATCTAAAGTGGAGATAGGCTGTGTAATACCAGCTCTCCGCTACAGGTGTATCCTCACAAGGTGGTTGATTTAGGCATTAAGTATCTTTCTACGATTACCACAAATCCGTGTCAGCCAAGGCGGGAACTCATCTGGCTCAATTTAATTTTAAAATAGACTGGTACCAGATGGACACAGAACTATTCTGCCGCCATTTTGCGGGATTGAGGCCCCCATCCTATGCCACTTGCTCCACATCTCACTCTACAGACTTGTGCCCTTGCGAAGCGGACCCTTCCCACCACTCCTTCACCCCACACACCAGACAGGAAAGCGTGCAGAGGGACAAGCTGGGTAGACCCATTGTGTTTCTGGGCAAGGTGCAGGTGTAAAACAACTTTAATACTGATGCATGCAGCTTCAGCGCATGTCGGTTGTTACACGTCGGCTCCATTTGCTTCAGAGCACAAACTAAGACTATGTGTCCGGCCCGACTGTCACCTAACAAATAACTGATCTAGGTCATATTCACATTACTACTTTCTAACTACGCTCCCACCCAACAAGGCTTTTGGTTGATGATCTGGTGGCAGGTTTCTCACAGGGATTTCACACGGGACCCATCACCATCCCCATAGGCACACTAAAATGTCCTAACCTGTTCTAAGCCGATTATGCCCCTTTTACGGTGGACCACCTACTATCCAAAGAAACCAAAGCAGGCTTCATGTTTGGCCCCTTTCACTAATTCTCTTTTCTCATCCTGGCGAACCAATCCCATTGGAATAGCCGTACATTAATACTCAAATAAAAGATTAATCATTGAGCTCTCTGCACCTCATTCTTCTTCCATCTCAGGCATAAACTCTCTCATACCCGCTGAGGAGATTTCACTACACTATGCAAATTCAATGATGCTATGCATGACATCATTACAGCAGGCAGCAAGGCATGCTGTAATGATGACATCACCATATGCCTTCAAGCTCCTACCCCTCACTTTGACACTTACACAGTTTAAAATTGCACAACAGGTACTATTTTTCTACCCAGCTTAATTATGGGGCAAGGAGCAGCCCTTAGCTGTTTTTACATTTTCACTGTAACATTATGTTGGCTGCTCCTAAATAAAGTCAGGTGTTCCTCCATTATCTACTAGTTCATGTTTTTGTTGGCAGAACTAGGGTCACACACACACACCAAGTAGCATTCACAACACCACAGACCTCTGCACCACACTAGGGGTAACCCTGTCACCGAGTAAACTCTAACAAACTGGTTTTCCTGGGCTTTATTCTGGACACAGTATCCTTCCAAGCTTAATTCTCGTATGTCACCACACACACTCAAACACTCCACTATTGCTACTCCAGGGGCACCCACTCACCACAGCTGAATTCACTTCTCACATTAGGACGCTACTGTCAAGGTTGGGCTACAACCCAGCTACAACCCAGGGTGGTCGTCGTTCGTATGTCGACCACGAGGCAGCGGCCATTTTAAAACCACGCGAAAGCCCAGCGGTGTTCGGCTCTATTTTCATGGAACTAAAAACGGACACTTTTTCTGCCGAACAACGCTGAAACAACGGAACGCCTGGCTGCCTCCACGAAAACATACGAATACCGGCCGTTCGGGAGTTTTGGAAGCATACGAAAGGACTTAACCCAGATAGCCCTCCCATGGAGTCATTCGTATACCGAAAGACTGTAAGAACTTTGACTCCATGGCGATTGAACTATGTGTGTGGGATCTGAGCGCTATTCGCTAATAAGGTGCACTGGTTTTATATTTAAAATGGCAACTGGCTTTGTCCTGGAGATAATTGAGTTACTTGGTAATTATCTCCAGGGCAGAGGGGAGGGAATCATAGTGCATTGTGGGTAAAAACTGTGACTGTGTGTCTGGAATGTCCCCATATTTATCTGTCATTTAAGTATCCCATTTGGTCCCCAAGGGGAGTGTATAAATACGGGCAGGTAGCCCACAGTAAAGCCAGATCCTGTTTGACCCTCAATGCGGAGCTTCTGTCTCGTTATTGGGGGGATTTCTTCTTCATGTTTAGAGACTGCTGGATGGAAACGAAAGCCGCTTGGTGGATGTTATTGTTCGGCAGCTAGCAGCAGTTTGTGTATTGCCGTTCGGGAGTTTGGAGCCGTTCACAGATCCCGGTCGGGAGATTGACGCTTCCCCTGCATTTGGTTCGTGCACTACAGGTTTTGCGAACGGAGCTTATTGATATTACAGACGGGGAAGGTCGACTAAACGGCGGTTTTGCTTAAAGACACTGGGGGTGTCTTAACAGGTGTCTTAACACTTTCCATACTCCTTCTTGTCTAAAGAAGTGTTCTCATTAGAACCAAGATATAAAGAGACAGTAATGGATACATTTTAAATAAAAAATACATTCAAATAAAATACATCATATTAAAAAGCCTGGTTTCTGAATAACAGAAAACTGCCTATATACATAACTAGACTGTAGAGAAGAGATCATATGTACATAGATATTCTTCTAAAAGGAAGAAAGAGAAAATGTTAAACATCATAATATGTTTCTAGAGAAAGAATGTTAAACATCATAATGAGGAAACATACCGAACTTGACATCAATCATAGAAAGTGACAAATCTCGAAGTCCCCATTTAAACCTTTAGGGAATAACAACTTCAATTTAAACACCCATCTCATCTCTTGTTTTGCCAGTTTATTATCCAAATCCTCCCCCCTCCAATTCCTAACAAGAGAATCATATTAAAACTTTTTTAAATCAAGAAAAGGGTTTTTTCCAATGCGGATACTGTCTAGCATGTAGGACTATAGGAGCCCCTAAATGTGTTAAAAGAGAATTAATAGGGGGAACACGAAACAAGTATATCAAGTTAAACAGTTAATAACTTGTCACACCACCAATTGTATTTATGTCCTTATCTGTCCATGCAATATGCATTATGTGGGAAAAACTACTAGACAAATTCATATCCACATTGACGAGCATTTACGTACTAATAAAAGGGGCTTTAAGGAGCACCCTTTATCTTCGCATTTTATACACAAGCATCAAGGAGACGTTACAAAGCTCCAATTCATTGGGATTGAGAGAGTCAATAGGAATTGGAGGGGGGAGGATTTGGATAATAAACTGGCAAAACAAGAGATGAGATGGGTGTTTTAAATTGAAGTCGTTATTCCCTAAAGGTTTAAATGGGGACTTTGAGATTTGTCACTTTCTATGATTGATGTTTTATCAGAGTCCATACAGATGTTCAAACGGCTACTAGATACATACTTGCAAGAACAAAATATTCAAGGATATAATCTTTGAATGTAGGGTAATAACTGCTTGATCCAAGGATAAATCTGACTGCCATTCTGGGGTCAAGAAGGAATTTTTTTCCTAGCTTGTTGCAAAATTGTGCTTCAAACTGGGTTTTTTTGCCTTCTTTTGGATCAACAGCAAAAAACAAATGTGAGGTAGGATGAACTTGATGGACGCAAGTCTCTTTTCAGCTATGTAACTGTGTAACTATGATGTCAAGTTCGGTATGTTTCCTCATTATGATGTTTAACATTCTTTCTCTAGAAACATATTATGATGTTTAACATTTTCTCTTTCTTCCTTTTAGAAGAATATCTATGTACATATGATCTCTTCTCTACAGTCTAGTTATGTATATAGGCAGTTTTCTGTTATTCAGAAACCAGGCTTTTTAATATGATGTATTTTATTTGAATGTATTTTTTATTTAAAATGTATCCATTACTGTCTCTTTATATCTTGGTTCTAATGAGAACACTTCTTTAGACAAGAAGGAGTATGGAAAGTGTTAAGACACCCCCTGGTGTCTTTAAGAGAAACCGCCGTTTAGTTCACCTTCCCCTTTCGCAAATTCAGTAATCCGTTCGCATCAATTGTAATACACGAACCATAACCAGGGGAAGCGGCAATCTCCCGACCGGGATCCGTGAAAGGCTCCAAACTCCCGAATGGAAATCCTCAAACTGCTGCTAGCTGCCGAACAACGATATCCACCAAGTGGTTTTCGGTTCCAATCAGCAGTCTCTAAGCGCAAAGAAGAAATCCCCCCAATAACGAGACAGAAGCTCCGCATTGAGGGTCAAACAGGATCTGAAGAGACAAAAGTGGTAAACCGCGCCCAAACAGTGCAAATAATAATTAAAATATATACATACAGAGAATCCTCTAATTAGGAATGTATGAAACCTTCAAGGCAAAAAAGTACAGAACAATAATAGTGCAATATTTCAAGTGAAATAAGAGTATATAAAAGCTTATAAAAGACTCACTCACACTTTGCAGAGCTACTCAGAGCTCTGCCGTATAGCGCCTAGACGGTATAATCCCCGTCTCAGGATATCAAGTGATGGTATAATGCGGTATCCAATCCTCCAAAGTGGTATATGGAAAGATAAAAATAGAAATAAAATCCAATAGTGTAGTATTAAAAAGTGTGCAAATAAAGGAAAAGTATCCTACTTACAAATTTCAGAGCAAATATCTTGCTCTGGTATAGACAGCATGTGGTGGTATGATCACCACCAAAGGATATAGGTCAGGATTCAAGATGTATCAGGAACAACAAATAAAGTAGTAAAAACTATAAACTTTATTGTTACAAAATAAAAAATAATAAAAGAAGTATCAGATCTCTCAGAAGTATCTCAGATCTGATACTTCTTTTATTATATATTCGCATCACATATCCTCAGATAGCCTGGATCTGAGTGCATATTATTAACGAATAGTGCTCAGATCCCACACACATAGTTCAATCGCCATGGAGTCAAAGTTCTTACAGTCTTTCGGTATGCGATTGACTCCATTGGAAGGCTATCTGGGTTAAGTCCTTTCGTGTGTTTCAAAACTCCCGAACGGCCGGTGTTCGTACGCTTTCGTGGAGGCAGCCAGGCGTTCCGTTGTTTCAGCGGTGTTCGGCAGAAAAAGTGTCCGTTTTTAGTTCCATGAAAATAGAGCCGAACACCACTGGGCTTTCGCGTGGTTTAAAATGGCCGCTGCCTCGTGGTCGACATACGAACGACGACCACCCTGAATTCGGTTTAATTGAGAAGTGTCTGCGGTTAAGCACAACGTTCTAATTGGGATCAATAGGTTAACCAGCAGCACACTTCTTCTCCTGGGTGGCCGTCCGTTCGGTAGGTTTGTTCGGGAAAAACAGTCATTCGTATGGCTGGGCTATAGAAAACAGCCATTTACACGAACGGGGCAGAAACAGACGAATCCACCACAATAACCAGACAGAGGGTTCTGTCACAGAAAGTAACCTCATTCATTATCTTCTACAATATCTCTGTGTTAGCAGGATCTCCCTTATTGATCCAAAGTTTTAGATCCACTACCTTTTAGGAAAATTATAGATTTGTATTCCATATTGGGCTGTTATACCATATGTGATAAGTATGAAGGTGAATATCCCTTTAAATTATATATTTGGATTGAGTAACACTTAATTCTTAATTATAACAGAGATATCTCTGATCATTGTTAAATAAAAAATCTACATTTGGATCTCTAGGTGGAGCACTGGCTTACATAAGCTATACATTATATTTATTTTGTTTTAACATTTACATATAAATCAATATAAGGTTAAATTGATGTATAACATTTTGTGTGTTTAATTTAGTAATTATGTGCAACAGTAGGTTGGATATTAGCTCTGAATTAAATAATGGTTTCCTGATTAAACATGCATATGCAAAAGTAGGAGGGGAATAGGATTCAGATTCTCATAAGGGAAAGATGAAACCAGCCCTTTATAAGGAAACCACGCCCCCGGACCAATGGAATAATAGAAGGGGAGGAGTATGACATTTAAAAGGAAGGGCTAGATACCCATGACGTTGTCAGAGGAAGCCTGTGGAGGCGGACGAAACGCATCACGATGTAAGAAATTGATATTCCAAACTGCAATATTGCAGCTAACGTTCTGTGTATGTGACTGGTTTCACAAGTTGGGGTCATTTACTTGATAACAGTGTGATAAGGATCAAAGCTTTCAGTTGCATTTTACAACACCCAGCTAAAACAAAAGCTCCCCTCCAGTATTCCTTGCATGTTATCAGGAGATCAGAGTAATAGACATCTAGGTGTAACCATGGAAGTGTGTGTTTTCCCAAGCAGTCTAACCCACCCAGAAACCAACCCTAACTGGTCACTTCTTTCAGAACATTACAGTATAGCTAGGGGGAAGAGATCAAAGGGAAAGACTTGTGTAAAGACAGAACTCTCTGGAGAAAGAGGGCGGGATAAACCACTTTAGGGAGGGAAAAGGGATTCTGGGACTTGTAGTTTATTACTCCAAGAATCAGTCTTTAAAAGGACAACAACCAAGGAAGGCTCTCTCTCTTTCTCTCTCTCTTTGGAGAGGACAACGCAGCAAGCAGGGCCATGGTGAACTGAGAGAGGCTGTCCCAGATTACCCAAGATGAAGGCGCAAGGGGAAGACCTGCATTTAAATGTTTAAGTATTGCCTTTTTATTATGTAGCTTTTGATTATGTACCGGATATAATGTATAATGTCATGTGTATATCCTTTTAAAATCTAACAGTTTCCTTAAATGAATATTTACAATACATTTTATTATACACTTGTGTTTATGTCTTATTTGTCACACATTCCCTAAAAGAATATCCTTGTAAGAGGGTCATAATTTCTTACAACGAGAGAGGCGGACCCGGAAGTGATTGGGACGGACGAAACCAGGAAGTGACTTTCTATCAGCCGTTTATATGCTTTTATGTGGGTAGCTATGTCAGCATAACCCACCACTCGCAAAGTAAGAGTTTTTAACTGTTGTCTTTTAATAAAGTGTATTCGGTACTATTCAATTGGAGGTCCTGCCTCTCTCTGTCCTATATTGCACAGCTTAACCAGTTTTCAAGTTAACACACCATTTGGAAGCCTACCAGTGTGGGAATTTTCCCTCTCAAGTGGAGCATTACAAACCCAGAGCCAGGGGTGATAGGGCTCTGGTCAATGTGAGTTTTTTCCCTCATACCCCCTATATATACTTTGTTTAGTTCAGATGGTCTGCACTATTCTCTGTTTTTCTATATTTTCAGATCAGTTTAGTGCACAGGTCAGAGTACCACTGCCCCTGCTTCTAGTGGGTGGTTTTGGGTTTTATTATGATTTATTGATTATTTATATTAATCATGGTTTACTATGATTTATTTTACCTTTAGCGTATTTGGGATTTAGTGATGATTTATTTTCATCATGTTTTATTTATGATTTTATTATTATGCTTAGTTTTTTGGGGATTGTGCCCTTTTGGCTCTTCTTTGCTTCCCCTGGTTTTCTTTGGGGAGATTTTCGCTTACTTTGTGGTGTTTTTTTGGGGGTTCCTAGGCATTCCTATTCGGTTTGCTCCCTTTGGTTTTATCTCTCCCACCCTCGCTACCCAACTCGCTAACACCCTTCTGTTACTTGTTCCGCCCTTGCTAACCGCGGGCGACAAGTGTTTCTCTCTGGGTTTCTGGAGACTAGCCTCCTGGCTGCCTCCTCTGATTCCCTGAGCTCCCTTGTGAGCCTTCCGGGGTACTCGCGGTCGGCTCCTTCTAAGGAGCTTGCGCACGTGGCCGCCTCGTCGTGATCGGCTCTTTCTAGAAGCCGCGGGAGTCAGACCGGCTAGAGGAGTATGCGCCTGCTCGCGACCCCTCCTCCAACCACAGTGACCGGGTCTTGCCTATTGTTGCCATGCTAGGATTCACCGGCTGATTTCTACAAGTCTTCCATAATCTTTTTAGCAAATCTCTGTTTTCTCTATGTCAATTAATTTATACAGTTCATCAAATCACTGTATTCTCTATGTCTATGAACTTATACAGTTCATCTGATCACTGTTTTTTCTGTCTATGAATATATCACAGTTTAGATCACAGATTGATGAGTTTCAATACAGTGTTTATATATCACAGCTTAATGTGAGTTTATGACAGTTTATACCACAGTTAACTGAGAATTTTAAATGGCAGTATACATCTCGGAACACTGAGTTACGTGTATATGTGACTCGGTTATACAGGCTCTACAGGGCTCTAAGATTGAGGTGCTTTACAGTATATACATTCTGGTCCAGCTATGGGTCTCAGGTGAGACTACTCTGGTATAAGTCGCTGTAAATGGCATGTATTAAAAGCTAAACAGACCTAACTCTGCCTCCAACTGGTATGGGAGACCAGTCTATGCTGACACTATTCCATTTTACCAGCATCTATGGGGAGATTTATTGAGTTGACTATGGTTTAACCATACTCCTGAAAGAGACCATTGGTACAATACCCTTCAGGTGGTATGACGATGATGATCTATTATCTATTATATATGTGCTTGTGCTTACCAATTCACAATTTAAAGAAGGTATCGCTCAGTATATCTTGCTTTTATGGACACTATAAATCACTGGAACAACTTCAGCTTAAACCACTATTTTGCCTGCTGGGCATTTAGGGACTGCCAGTCCATATTCAGGTTATCCACACAGTATTACACTGCCAGAAAGGGTTGGTGTCTAGGGGTCCTATGTCATAGGAGACCTTGAGGACCTACAGATATTTAGGGGACTCTGCCCATACTCTCCATTACTCATTTAATACACAACCCAGGATGGGCCTGCTACGTCTGTGCCCCATTGATTGGCTGGTTTTATCTCGGCCCGAACCCATTTTTGGCCAAAGGCCTGGGGGAATATCACTGAGGAAAGCTCAGTGCCCACTATTGACATGGAGATAAGTGGGTGTCCAGGCAAGAGCTGCTGCCATACTATCCAAGAGGACACCAGGATACGGACACCTAAATACGACTGGAATGGTGAAGGCCCTACACCTCATGCTCCGCGGGGCAAAGCCTTTATGAAGATTCCCGGGCACGCAACCACGGTTTGCACCAACCCAGCGGCGACACATCTCCAAAGAGAATTTCGCACAAGCAGGGACCAGTGCTCAGACGCCAACAGGGGAACACGGTTCCATGCCTTCAACAACTAAATCATTTAGCTACCTTCCAGGTATCCACCTTAGGTATGTCATGTGTCCTTAAGGGGTTCAAAAAATTTTGTCAAGCCCTGATATAACGGTCTAATCTCCATTCCTTTTCTCTAGGCTGCAAACAAATTAAACAGAACATACAGAGCAACTTAATTTTCTCTAAGCACTACCAACAAACTTAATAGAATGCTTCTCCAGCTGTTTGATATCTAACTCCATTATCTCTTCATTACTTACACAGGTTACCAATAGCTATAATTATTCTTTATTCTCTCTGGTCATCACCTATAGCTTCCAATATTAACCTTTAAAATTGTAAGTCCATAGGCTATCTAGCTAAGTACTTTGTGAAAGAGCTTCGTGGCAAGATTTCAGTTCACGGGCAGGACACTTTTTACCTTTTCTACTGGTCTGTGTATATTGTACTATCTATTTCCCAATTGTACAGTGATACACTATAAATGCTAATAATGGTACCAACATAAACAAACTGTAGCAAACATCCATCTCAACAGGTAGGTGCATAAAATGTACTCATTTCAATTGCAGAACATCAAATAATAAATAATATAAACAAATAGTTCTCCTATGACACATGGATCAATGGTGTAAGAAAAATAATGTAAACTGATTAGGATTACAGTCTTATGCCAATTTAATTCCCATCTTATCAGTTACCAGCTAGATGACTCCTTATTAATTACTTTCGTTTGTTTCAGTTTCATAAAGTCCCAGTGGAAAGAACAGGCAAACAGTGGATGATGTTGCCCTGGAGACCTTTTCCTCCACCACCTGCAGGCTGCTCTCAAGTAAAAACTGGATATAATTGTGTGTGGGGGGGGAGGGGCAGCTCTTTAACAAAATTTTGAATTATGTACAGCATAAATGTTGCAAAAAGGTGTTATGAAAAAACAACTCAACCTCTTAATTCTGGAGACATCAATAAATAAATTCTACATACACCATCCTGTACTGTGTACTTTTGTAATCTTGCAACACTATTGCATCATCCTCAAAATGGCTTGTTTCCCATACGTGCGAGAATACAAAATCTCTGAAGCCACATACCTAAAAGATTCAAACAAAAATACAAGCAACAAGTCTGTTAGCCTCCAGACTGAAGGAGAGACTAGCCAACTCCAGAATAACAAGATTAGACCACCCAGGTGCAGTATATATACAATGAATGTAAAACGATAATTACTTCCTTTTGATTTGGTATAACAAAGGAGTCCTCTCACTCCTCAATGTACATGGAAAGATAAGATATACCTAAACACTTTATCTGTATGCCATTTAATTTTCTCTCCTGATGAAGTCAAATATATTAGACGAAACACGTAGAGTTTGTTTTTAACTTTTGTTTTATACACATATGGTCTTTTTACCTACTACTACTGTGAAGAACCTTCTACTCTACACCATATAGAGCTCAATTTAATATTCTGGTTCTTGCTTTCAAATCGCTACATAATGCTGCTCCCACCTCCCACCTCCCTTATACACAAGTATGTCCCGTCTAAGCCCTTACGATCTGCTGAAGACTTACATCTATCTTCTGTTCGTACTCCCACCTCTGATGCTCGCCTTCAAGATTTCTCGAGGGCTGCACTGTTCCTGTGGAACTCGGTTCCCTCCTCCGTTAGATGCTCACCCAGTCTCCACTCCTTCAAAAAAATTGTTAAAAACCCACTTCTTCATAAAAGCGTATCAATTAAACTGTTAATTAAAATGATTCCTCTACTGCAACTGTCACTGGTCCAATACTATCCTTACCTTTTTGTGTCATTTTACCCCACTCCCTCTAGCATGTAAGCTCATTTAAGCAGGGCCATCAACCCCTCTGTTCCTGTGTGTCCAACTTGTCTGGTTACAACTACATGTCTGTTCGTCCACCCATTGTAAAGCGCTGCGGAATTTGATGGCGCTATATAAATATAATAATAATAATAATATAGATTGGGATTGCAGAATTGTATTGATGGGCTTTTTAACTCCTTGTACACTGTAAGTGCATTTATTAAAGCGTATGATTTTATTTTATAGTAGCGCTGTATTATGTTTATCTTTTTCATGCATCACTTGACATACGAACAATGATGAATCCATGAGAGTCCATGCATTATTGATGAGCCTGAATATTTCTCCAATGTTATGAGTGCAACATTGAAATAAGGGGCTAATTGTTAATTAACATTACTTCCCTATGAGTTTTTTCTCTCGATTTGTGTGTTTAGGTAAATCTTATTTTTGCAACTCCAGAATAACCTTCCTAGCCCCCCCAAACAAGGCAAAAATGTTAAACCCTCAAGCAATCACTGACAAATTCGCAAATACAAATTACAAATACAGTACCCTATATAACCTTGACTCAGATCCCCACACTACTGACCATACACTATATAGACACCTTCATGGACAAGATAAAACTCCCTAGACTGTCCATAAAGGACTCAGCTGGCCTGCTCGTCTCATTCACTGTGTAGGTGATTACGCAAAGCATTGCCAAACTCCCGCCTGGTAAATCCCCAAGACCCAACGGAGTGACCAACTTTTATTATCAATCATTCTTAGCTGTGCTCTCCCCCCATATTGTCACCCTGTTTAACGGCAGTTTTTCGGCAGGACAACGACCAGCAGAAATGTTAAAAGCACACATTTCTACTCAACCAAAACCTGGCAAACCAGCCACACAGTGCGCAAATTTTCAACCCATATCTCGTTTGAACAGCGACACCAAAGTATACGCCAACTTAATAGCTAACAGACTCTCCACTTTATTGCCTAAACTGATAACCAACGACCAATCAGGTTTTTTGAGAGGCCGCCGAAGCTTGGATAATACCAGGAAACTGATTAACCTTATAGACCACTTGAACAAAACTAAAACTGGAGGCCTTCTTGTCGCGCTTAATGAGAGAAGGCCTTCGATAGGCTCCACTGGGGTTATATGTCAAGGGTCTTGGAAAAATTTGTGATCCCTCTGGATGCCATAAAAGGGATTATGGCGTTCTACAACCACCCAGGTCCTATCGGCATCACGAACAGCACACATCAGGGATGCCCCCTGTTCCCCCCCCTTGCTTATCCTATCCCTGGAGCCACTGGCACAGACAATAAGAAACAGTCTGGACATCAGTGGAATTATCATAGGCAACACAGAACACAAGCTCTCACTGTTTGCCGATGACATAATCCTCACCTTGGGTAATCCCAGCCTATCACTGCCAGCTAGTCTCTCTCTTTTGGCTTTTTATGGAACAATTTAATTTTATAGGTTAAACCTCTCAAAATGCCAGGCGATTACTATTAACCGCCTTCGACAAAACTAACATACCTAAAACCTGCCTTCCCACTGGAATGGTTGGCTTCCTACATCACGTACCTGGGAATAAATCTTACTAAGACCACGTCAAATATTTTCAAACATAACCATACACCACTTATCTCGAAGTGTAGAACCGAGCTTAATAAATGGAAAACAGTATCTTTATCATCGGCAAGGAAAATCGACACAACTAAGATGATGATACTGCCACAAATATTGTATATATTCAGACTGCTCCCCATTTCTATACCCCCTTCCTACTGCAAAATGCTGCAGAGGGTGCTTACACAGTTCCTCTGAGCCAACAAGAAAGTCAAACTTCCACTGACCTTGCTACAATTGCCAACCCAAAACAGAGGCATGGGCGTACCCATCATTTCCTTATATTACAATGCATCCATCTTGCAAGCTGTTGCTACCATTCATGCACCAAAATGCACATTGGGATGGGTGGACATGGAGCAACAACGCACACCAGGTATCTCCCTAACAGAGCACCTCTGGACACCCAAACACCTTAGGTCAACGTTGCCTGCCGCATTTCTCACCACCACTCTTATGGTAAACACGTGGGACACACTGCTCCTAAATCAGAATCTAAGCAAATTATTTCTACCAGACGCCCCACTACAGTCTCTACAGTCCATATCCCCCTAGTTACAACTCCAGAAATGGCGTGAGGTTGGAATATCTCAAGCTTCCCAACTAATAGTTGGCAACACCATTATTCCATTCCCAACTCTAGTGGCCCAATTTCACTTACCCCCCAACTATTTACTTATGTACCTACAAATAAAAGACCTACTCCTCTAACATCTAGAGACGCTTCAGCAACTTTATAGGGGAATACCACCTCGATTGCAATTGTTTATAAAAATGCTGGAAAACTCCACTAAAACCTAAATTGCTTACAATAGCCTGCTGGGTAGCGGTCTACTTCAACATATTCTCTTTCCAGGAGAGGTGGGAAATAGCTTGCGGCATATCCTTCTCAGATGAGGCCTGACTAGAGTCTCTGAACGCCCTAAAGGGGGTAACACAGTGCTATCACCAAGTTGAAGCACACGGCAAACTAGTATACCAGTGGTACTTAATCCCAGATCGCCTACACAAAATCTACCCTTCAGTGCCCTCAACGTGCTGGAGATGTGGGTTGGAAGAAGGCACCATGCTTCACATCTGGCGGTCATGTGCGAAAATAGGTTCACTCTGGAGAGAGGTGGAAAACCTACTCATCACTGAAGCTCCAACGGGTGCCCTTCACTCCAAGCAACTACCTCTTATTTATGCCCACTAAAGCAGGGTCTTTTGCACAAAAGGCATTACGCAAAATCATTTCACTAGCGGCACGCCATCTCATAGTTTTAAACTGGAAAAGTACCCATATTCCTTCAATACAAACACTGAAAGATAGAGTGGATATTTACCATAGTATGGAACTTATAGGGGCCACCAACTTTCGACAACGGCACAAACTAGACGAGATTTGGGCGCCTTGGGTAACATACCAAAAAAAAAAATGGGAAACAGTAAAAACAGGGTCATGGAACTCCTCTGGGAGGGACCGGGTCGGGGGAAAGTGCAATGGCAGTGAGGTATGTGTTCTCTTAATGGCACACACACACCTTCGGGTTTCAGTCCAGCCTGTGGACTTAATCATAATCCTGATGAAAGTCCACAGGCTGGACTGAAACGTCGATTTGTTTTATGGGAATTTGAATAAAAGTAAATTTTTATTGGAAAATCCGTGAATGCAGCCATTCTACCTGACTTATATATATGAAACAAGGGGGGTTGGCTGCACGCACCTGAACATGCATAAATGAGGGTGCTACTGGGGACCAAATAATACAATACACAAGATCCAGCGCACTCACCTACCCACTAAACAGCAACTTCAATGTTGAAAGATTTTATTAGTTTTTTTAAAAACACCTAATCTAGGCAAAAATAATGGGGGTTTAGTTACATTATATGATCATACATTGCATAAGCCTGCCACAACATCAATGTACCCCCCTACAGCAGGGTAGCCGTTACAGCCTAGATTAGGAGTTTTTAAAAAAACGAATAAAATCTTTCAACATTGAAGTTGCTGTTTAGTGGATAGGTGAGTGCGCTGGATCTTGTGTAGTGTGTGTGTGTGTGTGTGTGTGTATATATATATATATATATATATATATCTCTGTATCTATATAGATAGAATTGAGTGGGACACGTCATCTGCCCACACTAGATAGTACTGCAAAATTCCCGCACATGCCCAGTTAAACACTCTGAAAAAAGATGAATGAATGAATAGAAATTTCAGACGAACAAACACTTAATATCAGTGTTCATTTGTTAATTCCGTTTATTACAAGGAGGGAGCTACTGGCTCGCAACTCCCTCCTTGTAATATGTGCGGTGGGCTGGGGCCATAAATCACAAGGGGGGGGGGGGCTACTGTCCTCCCTCCCAGCCCCCACCCCTAGCCTTGCCATGCAATTAGGCTAAGAACACTCTAATTGCTTGGTTTAAGCCAATCAGAGTGCTCTTTGTAATTTTACACAGCGTGGGAAAATTCCAAAGAACTTTCCCGTGCTGTGTAAAATGACTCAAAACACTTTGATTGGATGGCTTGAAATCCATCCAGAGTGTTAAGAGTCAAATTACACAGCGTGGGAAAGTTCTTTGGAATTTTCCCACGCTGTGTAAAATGACAAAGAGCATTGTCAGTGCATATGGCAGTCCGAATAGATAAAGCATAAAGAGAAGGAGAAATAAAACAATGTTTAAATTTTTCCTCCTTGTTTGTTTTCCCTGGCTTTGCCTTTAAGGGACATTATAGGCACTCAGACCACTTCATCTCATTGAAGTGGTCTTAGTGACGTGTCCCTGTCCCTCTCAGTCTTGCAATGTAAAATAATGTTTACATTGCAGTACTAAGACAGGACTTTAACTCTGGTGTGCAGGCAGTGAAGATAGCAGGTCTGTGTGATGGAGGACTGCTCTTCTTGGGGACAATCGCGGTTCAGAGGGACAGGGAAGGAGGCAGGACCAAATAGTGCAATACTTACAGACCTCAGAACATTGAAGCAACTACATATGTATAATACTCTCAAAAATTTAAGTATAATTTGTTTTTATTTTTATTTTTTAAATCAAACTTGTCCTAACTGACTCACACACGCTTTTTTTTTTTTTAAACACACACAATGTGCATTCAGACACACACACTGACACATGTCACACTCCAAACTGACATACACTGGCCCATTTACACACAAACTACATCTGACACACCTACAGTACAGTCCCACTGCATCTTTCATATTGCCAGCTGCTTTCAAGATCCAGCAGTCGGGATGGAGCTTGTCCTCTTCACTTCTCTTTCCTCCATGCACTTTGTCGGCTACTGGGTTATGACGTCATGCTGCATACTGGCGGCCATAAGCTCTGTACACTGACCGGTGGTCTACTGGGGGCCCCATAGCCAGCTCTGAAATACTGTGTCCAGTTCTTCTAAAGCACAAATCCCCCACTCATACACATCCCTGCTTCTTGTCCACGCCAGAGGTGAAAGGATAGAAAAAATGCTTGCCCAGAACTGCATGTTTCAGGCAATATAAATTCCACATCCTTGTGCTAGCACAATGTATAGATTATTGTTTAGCACTAGTACAGCAATTCAAACACTACTTACATAAGTAAAAATGAAACACTTCCAAGAAATCCACCTCTTTCAAAACTATCACTGTGAAGTGATTGAATTAAAAAGATGACAATCTTTTACATGCTTTAAAAACAAGAAAAGTGTCTATAAAGCCAAGCCCACAGAGAATGAGCTTGCTAATTTTTTTCTTGAATTTAACAACCAAAATGTATGATCTGAAAACTATTGCTGTAGTCCTATTCAAAAAGATTGAACATTTTCTAGATGAATTACATACATTTTGGACAAAGGTCCCATTAAAATACAATAAAGTGTTCATGCCTATGTTTGAAAAAAAAAAAAAAAAAAGAAAAAACTTAATCTTAAAGGACCACTATAGTGCCAGAAAAAAACACTCATTTTCCTGATACTATAGGGTCTCTAGGTCCCCCCCACCCTCAGGGCCCACCTCCAGCCGGGCTCTAGGAGGTGGAAGGGGTTGAATATTACCTGTTTTCCCCCGCCGGCTCCCTTGGCGCGGGTAACTCTCCTCCTCCTTTTCCCCGTCATCGTCTAAATGCGCATGCGCGGCAAGAGCAGCGTGCGCATTCAGCCAGTCCATAGGAAAGCATTCTCAATGCTTTCCTATGGACGCTGGTGTCTTCTCACTGTGAAAATCACAGTGAGAAGCACGGAAGCGCCTCTAGCAGCTGTCAATGAGACAGCCACTAGAGGCTATGTTTACAGCAGAAAGGGTTAATCCTAGATGGACCTAGCATTAAGCTGAAGTGGTCTGGGTGCCTATAGTGGTCCTTTAACCCAGTGGCTTTGTAATTACAATTATCTGGTAGAGGTGTGGGTTACCATAGTACCCACAATAACTGAAGTGCAGTGCCCTGATTTTGGAGCTATGTCAGTGAGTTTGTAACAAAGATATACTTCCTAAGGTTTGGGAAATTTGTTCAGTGCCGATATCCATTACATATGCTATCGTGCTTGGGTTATATAATAAAATTTCCATACCAGTTTTATTTGTGAACTCGTTCCCTATTCATTCTTACAACTCTTAACCAACCATTTCTGGGAGAACACAGCATTCACACTACTGGTACTAACTAGTGAAGTCTTGAAAACTAGGCAGTCTAGAAGCCTGGCTTTATTTCTTCATTATGCAAACCTGTAAACCACCTGGTTCAAACAGCACATTACACATTCTGGCTCTTTTCTAACTAAACTGGCGGTGTGACAGAACCATCTGTCTGCTGGATTTTTTGCCCGTTCGTCTGTTTGTCCCCGTTCGTATGAATGGCTGGTTTCTATAGCCCAGCCATTCGAATGACTCTTTTTCCCGAACAAAACCGCCGAACGAACGGCCACCCAAGTGAGGAGTGTGCTGCAGGTTAACGAAGTGATCACCATTATAACGTTGTGGTTAACCGCAGACACTTCTCAATTAAACCGAACTCAGGGTGGTCGTCGTTCGTATGTCGACCACGAGGCAGCGGCCATTTTAAATCATGCGAACGCTCAGCGGTGTTTGGCTCTATTTCTATGGAACGGAAAACGGACACTTTTTCTGTCGAACACCGCTGAAACAAGGGAACGCCTGGCTGCCTCCACGAAAGCATGCGAACATCGGCCGTTCGGGAGATTGAGAGCATACAAAAGACTTAACCCAGATAGCCCACCCATGGAGTCATTCGTGTACCGAAGGACTGTAAGAACTTTGACTCCATGGCGATTGAACTATGTGTGTGGGATCTGAGCGCTATTCGCCAATAATATGCACTCAGATCCAGGCTATCTGGGGACATGTAATACGAATGGGAAATGTTCAGTTTTCATGTAGTTATGCATTTTTATGTCTTTTATTATTTCATGTTTAAGATGGCGACTGTCCTTGTCCTGGAGTTAATTGAGTTACTTGGTAATTAACTCCAGGACAGAGGGGAGGGAATCAGAATGCACTGTGGGTAAAATATGTGACTGTGTGTCTGAAATGTCCTTCTATCTGTCTGTAATTTAAGTCTTCCATTTGGTCCCCTAGGGGAGTGTCCACCAGGTGGGAGACCTGCATAAATACGGGCAGGTAGCCCACAGTAAACCCAGATCTTATTTGACCCTCAATGCGGAGCTTCTGTCTCGTTATTGGGGGGATTTCTTCTTCACGGTTAGAGACTGCTGGATGGAACGAAAGCCGCTTTGGGGATATTATTGTTCGACGGTTCCTAGCAGTTCGTATATTGCCGTTCGGGAGTTTGGAGCCGTTCGTGGATTTCGATCGGGAGATTGTCGCTTCCCCTGCATTACGTTCGTGGATTATAGAGTAAGCGAACAGAGACGGTACTGCAGCCGGGGAAGGTTTACTAAACGGCGGTTTGACTTAAAGACACGGGAGGTGTCTTAACAGGCGGTAATTTAACAAAGAAAACAAAAACTATAAGCACAACTAGCTCTTGAAAATTATGCAGAAACAAAATACTAAAGGAACACTCCAAGTACCATAATCACTGCCAGTTGTTATGGTGCCAGGATTGTCCTGGTGCATCTACCAATGTAATTAGCCAAACCAGTTAGTAACAGCTTAACTTTTTCCCTGAGGTCCAAGGGCAACACTCCCAGCAGGAAGTGAGAGTAAGGGGTTCCTGCCCTCCACGCATCCATTGTAGCCCCCTCCCAGCCCTGTTTATCTTCTTAGCCCTCCCATGTGTCTCAGCAGCATCTCCACGTGTCCCATGAGCCCCCCATTTGTCGCATTAGCACTCAACCCTCCATGCATCCTTTCCTACCGGTCGCGGTGTAATTGAGCCGTGCGACCCAATAGTATGCCAGCCCACCAGGAAATTTCCAGGTGAGCCAGTCCGGCCCTGCTTAAAGGGACACTACAGCCACCAAAACAGCTTTAGCTGAAGGAACATTTTAGTGTTAGGAATACAAACATGTACTCCTAACACTATAACCCTGGAGTGGCTGTGTAACGGACCGTTTTGCACATAAGGGGTAAAAACCGTTTAGGTGATCGTCCCCCTTTCCAGAGATGCAGGCACAGCTACTGCAGAACACCAATCCGCCGAACAGGAAACCATATGAATGCTGTAAACAGCCGAATAGGAAAAACCATACGAATAGGTTTACACTCCTAGCAGTCAAACTGGAACAGCATACAATAAATCCCCCCAAGAACGAGAACAAAGCTCCGTGTTGAGGGTCAAGCAGTGAACAGACAGCGCTGTGGGTTTATTGTGCTTATGTACACATTCTTACACATTAGTACCACCCACAGGGTTTTGGAACACAACCAATAAACACATACAATACATTCAGACACTCCCACACAAATTCCTCCCCTCTGCCTGTGATTCAATTACCTTACACAATGGGTAATGTAATTATAAAGAGAAATACAATTTTTCCACATTATTCATAACTTGAAAAGTATGCATCACATTCACATAAAAAAAAAAAACTTACATTTTCAGAATCAGCATACTCCAAATACAAACATACATCAAAATCATACAAATTGGTCCAGTGGTTCAAAAGATAGATCGTAGTCCTTTGTGACCACAGGAAGCATGGCTTTTCTGCCCAAAACCAGTTCCACAGAGTCTTCTATCCTGGAGATAATTAGAAGTAATCCAATTATCTCCAAAGACAGAGGCAAAACTCCATTGAACACATGGCAGCAAAAGACAGTAAAATACAATAAAATACACAAGGTTACATTTATGACATAAAATACAGACATGCAACATATGCCCAGATAGCTTAGGTCTAAGCGCACATTATTACTGAATGGCGCTCAGAGCACACACATACAGTTCAATTGCCATGGAGCCAAAGTCTTTCCCATAGTCTTTCATTATACGAATGGGCTCCATGGCATAGCTATCTGGGGTATCACTGCTCAAACAGGGCAAGCACCAAATGACCCGGCTTTCTTGTCTTTGCAGGGGAAAATTAAGCCTTTTAACATGGGGCCATAATCCCAAGGCAACAGGCGAGCAACCCGGCTTCTCCAATGCAATGTGGCGAGATTGGTCTCGTCACAGGCTGTTTAGGTGATTGGCCCCTCTCAGGTATGAGAAAAAAAGGTAGTTTATTTAACTTTTCTCCACTGTCACGCAGGTCTCGTAGCAGCTGATCCCACCTACATGGCTAAGATCATTAATCTTGATAATCTCAGTCAATCAAATGCTTTCTCATATGAAAGCAGTGGAAGGCTATTGCGCATGCGTGGCAAAACCCTGTGCTGCGCCAATCAGCATCTCCTTATGGAAGGCTATTGCGCATGCGTGGCACAACCCTATGCTGCACCAATCAGCATCTCCTTATGGAGATCTATTGAATCAATGCATCTGTCTGGACACTGCAGCACTAAAATAGGATGCACCTCTAGTGGCCTTATAGGTGTTACTAGGCAGCAATGTAAACTCTGCGTTTCTATATAAAGGCAGCATTTACATTGAAAAGCCTGCAGGGACAGGCTATAGAAAACACCTGAAACACTAAATTAAGCTTTAGTAGTTCTGGAGACTATAGTGTCACTTTAAATCAAGCAGTTTTTGTATATAGATCGTGCTTCTTATAGGTCACTGCTCAGTTCTTTGCCATTTAGGTGTTAAATCCCATTTGTTTATGTAGACCTGGCCATACATCCCTGGTTGTGACTAGCACAGCCTGCATGGAGATAAAAAGGTTTCATTTTCAATGGGTTGTTAACTTACTTTACAAGTCTTTACAGGAAGTATTTAGGTAGGCTGTGTAAGTAAAATGCAGGACGTGACTAGGGCTGAATAAACAGTGATTTAACTCCTAAATAGCGGAGAATTGTGCAGTGAGATTGCAGAGGAATGATCTATAAAGCCAAACTGCTCACTAAGCTAAAGTAGTTTTGGTGACTATAGTGTCCCTTTAACGCCAAAAGAAGTTACATGAAGAATGATTTGCCATTCTAGTTTACATTTTGCAATTTTAATTATGTACAATTCGGAGAGGACCTAGCTATTCACTAAACTTCAAGGCTAGGACAATAGAAATCGAAATGATGAAATGGAAGCTAGAACTCTGTACAAATGTTTCCAAACCTGCTACTTAACCAAAATGCAGGCCTCTCAGATGACATTGTTACAACTTTAGAGAATAAACATACTAAAATAAAAAATGTGTATAATGATATATTGTTAGAATTATATATACACACACAATATTATTTACCACTATTCTCCCATTTAGATCCACATGGGGGGGAAGGCAGGTCCCAGTGTAGGGTACCCCCTCCCTCCAGATCAGTCACTCAGGTAATGGCACGCCTCTCTCAGCCGTCACGTCATGTTAGGTTTATCAATGTTACCGATTTCATCATGTCAGGGTTTCCCCCACCACACATGGCTGTTCAGCAATACACTGGGCCTCCATCACGTGGAAAGCAAACAATAAAAGTAACTAGCTCCCTCCCAATTGACAATGTTTATAAACAAGCTCTCCCTGCCCGAATCTTCACCGCCACACAAACAAGTCCCCGGGATCTAGCCGTCACCGCCCGCACTGAATTCGCAAACCGGCTGCCGAGGAGGGGATACTCACAGCGCCCCGTTACAGCTGTCGCCAACTCTCGTCCCGAATGGGCGGCGAGGTCCGGCTATCCCGATATAAAATCCAGTCGTACTTTGTTTCCCTCTGTATCGCGACAGTAGCTTCGACCCGTGAAGGGGAGCGGTGAGGGAGCTGGAAGACTCTGCGCGTGCGCAGTGTGCTCGGCGGGGAGCGCATGTGCGCTGGAAATGTCACCCAGCATGCGTAGTGTTAGTGCTTTCCCCAAGCGCTTTGCTAGGCTTGCATTCACTTTTATTTATTAAATATATTAATTTTTAAACTTAAGTGAGAGTTAGTACCGGGTATTGCAGACTGGACTCCACTCTCTCTCTGTGTTTTACAGGAGTCAATGAAGCGGTCCTGTTAAAAACGCTCGAAAATCTGCTCCAACTGAGCATTGTTGGGCATTCACATGAGGTTATTTACTAAAGAGAAAAAGTGTGACTTTTAAATGTAAAGGGACTGTATTATAGATGTACCTTATCCCTCTGCACCTTCGTTCCATCAGAATTTCCCTCTTTTTATAGAATAGTAGGGATCTTGGGTTCTGGAAGCTAGGTCCAGAAGTAGAGGATTATCATCATTTTGTCTCACACAAAAGAAAAAAAAGAAAAGACTGGATAACCAGTGAGAGAATGGGTATGGAGAGGCAGGTGTTGGGGGAGAGGATAGGAGTAGTACAGATACATTCTCTAAAGTAAACTGGGGAGAAGGAATTTAGATTAGAAAACTAAACTGTTAGGGCACCATATCAGCTTCATCAAAATAAAGCTGTTATGTCTCCAGGAGGTCCTTAGCGCTTCCTTACTGCAATATTTATGCTCATATATGAGGTGTATAATCATGCTCATGATGCCGGTAAACTTTAGTTGAACATGCAGATTTTTATTAAAGCGCTACTGTCACTCTTTTGGACTCCACACATGTGTCCCAACTTGTCAAGGACACATGTTGGGAGGAAGAAGCGGCTCTCTAATTAGGCGATTTAGGTGGCCGCCCAAGGCCTCGCGCTGTCTGGGGCCTCGTGGCTGTCTAAATCGCCTTAGGGCGGATAAGGTATTTATGAACCCACTCTACCCTCTGTCACTGATGCTACTCCATCCTCCTATCCCTGTCACTGCCCCTCCACCCCCTGTCACTGCCCCTCCACTCCCCCACCACCTGTAACTGCCCCTCCACCCCTTGTCACAGTCCCCCCTACTCTGTCACAGTCCCTCCACCCTCTAACAGCCCTCCCACCGTCTCACCCCCACCCTGTCACAGCCCCATCAACCTGTCACAGTCCCCCTCTCCCTGTCACAGCCCCCCTTACTGGCACCCCTCGACACACACACACCTCAATACCCATCCACACACACCCTGTCAGCCCTCCCACACACAAACACCCTCTTACAGCCCCCCTCCACACACCCTGTCACCCCCACATGCATACACTGTCACCTCATACACTATCACCATTCCCAAACACTTTCAGCCCCCACACACTGTCTTATCACTCTCACCCTGTCCAACCATACCAAACTCACCTGCCCTTGCTTTACCACAATTACCCTATCACATTAACCCGCCCCCCAATCCTGTCTGACTCAACCTTTTCTTGCACTGTCGCACACAGTCCTCAACCCTGTCGCACTCATCCTCTATTAGTCTGTCCCACTCACCCCCTTCACCCTGCCAAACTCACTGTAACAGATACCCTGTTCATTGCCTGGCCATCAGACCTGTAACATTGTTAACAGTTAAACTCACAACCCTATATCCCCAACATACGAATTGGAAACGAACAGCCCTGTTAAATTGTTCATATAACCGAACAAGAGACCACCCAGACCAGTCGTCTGCCGCCAATTGATTAATTGACTCTGACAAACCGCAACGTCAACATTCTAAGTGATTTACTGGGTGGCCGTCGATTCGTATGCACGAACACGTAGTGGCAGACATCTTGTTTTGTCGAACGCGTCCAGCGGGATTTGGTCGTCGAGTATCTGGAATGGTTTTCGGACACTCGAACGCCCGAACACCGCTGAGACTTCCAGGACCACTTAGATTCGCGCAAATTCATACGAAGGAAGCAGTGGTCGGTAAAAGCATTGTACGAACGAGAAGGCACACGACCATCAAATTCACGAACACTGATGGGGATGATTGTTCGGTATTTTTAAACATACGAAAAGGGACCGGCAGAAATGGGACTTCCATCTATCTCCCGAACCCCTGAACCGATTCACATAATTTTTGTAATATGCTGGTCCCCTAATTATGCCCTAACAGAAAATATAAGTTTTATGGGAATTGGATGTATATTTTTTATGTTTCTGAAAATGTGTGAAAAGTTAATTTTTTCGCTAGGAGATAATTGAGTTGATACAGCATGTTAAGACACCCCTGGTGTCTTTAAGAGAAACCGCCGTTTAGTTCACCTTCCCCTTTCACAATATCAGTAATCCATTCGCATAAACTGCATAATCCACAAACCATACCCAGGGGAAGCGGTAATCTCCCGACCGGGATCCGTGAAAGGCTCCAAACTCCCGAACAGAAATCCATGAACCGCCGCTAACCGCCGAACAAAGATATCCACCAAGCGGCTTTCGGTTCCAATAATCAGTCTCTAGACGCAAATACTAAATCCTCCTAATAACAAGACAGAAGCTCCGCATTGAGGGTCAAACAGGATCTGGCTATACTGTGGGCTACCTGCCCGTATTTATGCAGGTCTCCCACTTGGTGGACACTCCCCTAGGGGACCAAATGGGAGACTGGAATTACAGCTGTACAGGAGGACATTTCAGACATACAGTCACAGGCTTTTCCCATAATGCAATATGGTTCCCTCCCCTCTGCCCTGGAGATAATTGAGAAGTAATTTGATTATCTCCAGGACAAATACACATCGCAATTTAAAATACAAAACCAGAAAGTGCATAAAAATACATAACTTGAAAATAACCGAACATTTTCCATTCACAACACATATCCCCAGATAACCTGGATCTGAGTGCATATTATTGGCGAATAGCGCTCAGATCCCACACACATAGTTCAATCGCCATGGAGTCAAAGTTCTTACAGTCTTTCGGTATGCGATTGACTCCATGGAAAGGCTATCTGGGTTAAGTCTTTTCGTATGTGGTAAACTCCCGAACGGCCGGTGTTCGTACGCTTTTGTCGAGACAGCCATGCGACCCGTTGTTTCAGCGGTGTTCGGCAGAAAGAGTGTCCGTTTCTAGTTCCATGAAATCAGAGCCGAACACCGCTGGGCTTTCGTGCGTTTTAAAATGGCCGCTGCCTCGTGGTCGACATACGAACGACGGCCACCCGGAGTTCGGTTTAATTGAGAAGTGTCTGCGGTTAACCACAACGTTCTAATTGGGATCAAGAGGTTAACCAGCAGCACACTTCTATGCTGGGTGGCCATCCGTTCGGTAGCTTTGTTCGGGAAACAACAGTCATTCGTATGGCTGGGCTATAGGAAACAGCCATTTACATGAAGGGGCAGGAAATAGACGAATCCACCACAATAGACAGACGGATGGTTCTGTCACACAGCAATTAACTCAATTATCTCCCAAGCAGAGGGGAGGAATTTACTGTAACGAATGGGAGTGTTTAACTTTGTGACTGTACACTATTGGCTGTTCAATTTATTTTTCGGTGCCTCACAAGGTCCACATGGGTGGTAACCTTCTGGGAAAAGTTGCATAAAAGGCCAGCCTGTCACATTAAACCCTCAGATCTGCTTAACCCTCAATACGTAGCATCATCTCGTGTTTGTAGGGAAACTGCATCCAGCTAATCACTAGCTCTTGTAAGAGCTCTGTGTCAGCACGTAGAATTGTGTCACAGAGATGACTAATAGGTAACGTATAACCAGGTCTTAGAATGGCCGGACTTAACGTACCAAAGAATGGTCAGGATACTTGCGAGGTCAGGGGATACAGAAAGAGACACAACGATAAGAGAAAGCCATAAATCAGGGATACCAGAATACAGGGAAGTCAAAATCAAAGCCAAAGTCAAAAACCAGAACACCCTCTCGGACAACCACAAGGGAAACCACAACAGGGCACTGAACAGGATGAAAACTGGGCCTAAATACCCCCCCTCTAGATCTGATAGGCTGTAACCGGCATTTGACCCCAAAGGCAGTTACCAGGTTCCCATTTGCATAATGTGGATTTGGTTGCTGCTGCTCGGCACAACGTTTCCTGTGTGGACAGTAAAAGCCATTAACTACATTTTTAACCATATTTTTTATAAGCGGATGAATTCTCTACTGGTTCGGCTGATGGGACATCTGGAGCATACTGCAGCACAGCCTCTCTCCAGGGAAAAGGACGTCTCCAACTGCATACACCGCTCTGATACACAAGGTGGCCGTTACACTCACCCTACCACATAAGCCCCTCCAATTCTGTCCTCCAACTGTGCCACACACCCCAAACCCTGTCACACCCCCCCAACCCTGCCAAACTCACCCTTTCTCATTAATCTAATCCTGCCACATTAACCCCCTTAATCTTGTCACACTCCCCCCCCCCCTCATTCTGTTACACTGCCTACTCCAAACTTGGCACATTCACACCAGCCCTGTGATACACTCCCCAAATGCCACACGCAGCCTGTCACATTAACCTCCTCCAATCCTGTCACACTTATTTCCCCATGTCCAGTCACACTCCCTCCTGAAACCCAATGGCATCGCTGGAGGGGGGGCCAGAGGAGCTCAGCTGGAACGGTGCTGGGGGCTGTCTGTGGCCGGAGGGAGCATTGACAGGCTCCCCGGCACAGGCCCCGCCCCCAAATGAAGCCCCGCCCCTGCCGTTAAGCAGCAGACCTTGCTGCTGCTGGAAAGGCAAGAAGATGGCTGTCTGACCACCAGCAAAAGGTAGGCTTGATATGCTCAGGTGTGTGTGTGTGTCTGTATCTGTCTGTCTGCCTGCTAGTGAGGAAGCTTGTGTGTGTGTCTGTGTGTGTGTATGGATTCAGCAGTCTGTCTGTGTGTATGGACTCAGCAGTCTGTCTGTGTGTATGGACTCAGCAGTCTGTGTCTGTGTGTATGGACTCAGCAGTGTGTGTGTATGGACTCAACAGTCTGTGTGTGTGTGTGTGTGTGTCTGTGTGTGTGTGTGTGTGTGTGTGATCTCAGCACTCTCTGTGTGTGTTTGTGTGTGTGTTGACTCAACAGTCTGTGAGTGTGTGTGTGTGTGTGTGTGTGTATGGACTCAGCTGTCTGTATGTGTGTGTCTGTGTATGGACTCAGCAGTCTGTGCGTGTGTGTGTGTGTGTGTGTGTGTGTACTCAGCAGTCTGTGTGTCTGTGTGTGTGTGTACTCAGCAATGTGTGTGTGTGTGTGTATGGACTCAGCAGTCTATGTGTGTGTATGGACTCAGCAGTCTCTGTGTGTGTATGGACTCAGCAGTCTGTGTGTGTGTGTTTATGGACTCAGCAGTCTGTGTCTGTGTGTATGGACTCAGCAGTCTGTGTGTATGGACTCAGCAGTGTATGTGTGTATGGATTCAGCAGTGTGTATGTGTGTATGGACTCAGCAGTCTGTATGTGTGTGTGTGTGTGTGTATGGACTCAGCAGTGTGTGTGTGTGTGTGTGTATGTATGGACTCAGCAGTCTGTGTGTGTATGTGTATGGACTCAGCAGTCTCTGTATGTGTGTGTGTGTGTGTATGGACTCAGCAGTGTGTGTGTGTGTGTGTGTTTGGACTCAGCAGTCTGTGTGTGTGTGTGTGTGTGTGTGTGACTCAACAGTCTGTGTGTCTGTCTGTGTGTGTACTCAGCAGTCTGTGTGTGTGTGTGTGTGTTTGGACTCAGCTTGGTCTGTATGTGTGTGTGTGTGTATGGAGTCAACAGTCTGTGTGTGTGTGTGTGTGTGTGTGTGTATGGACTCAGCAGTCTGTGTGTGTGTGTGTATGAACTCAGAAGTCTGTGTGTCCGTGTTTGTATGGACTCAGCAGCCTGTGTCTATGTGTGTGTGTATGGACTCAGCAGTCTGTGTGTGTGTGTGTGTGTGTATGGTCAGCAGTCTGTGTGTCTCTGTGTGTATGGATTCAGCAGTCTGTGTGTGTGTGTGTATGGACTCAGCAGTCTCTGTGTGTGTTTGTGTGTTGACTCAACAATCTGTGTGTGTGTGTGTTTGAGACTCAGCAGTCTGTCTGTGTGTGTGTGTGTGTGTGTGTGTGTATGGACTCCGCATTCTGTGTGTGTATGGACTCAGCAGTCTGTGTGTGTGTGTGTGTGTGTGTGTATGGATTCAGGTCTGTGTGTGTGTGTGTGTGTGTGTGGACTCAGCTCTGTGTGTCTGTGTCTGTGTGTGTGCTCAGCCGGTCTGTGTGTGTGTGTGTGTGTGTGTGTGTGTTTGGACTCAGCCAGTCTCTCTCTCTGTGTGTGTGTGTGTGTGTGTTTGGACTCAGCAGTCTGTGTGTGTGTATGGACTCAGCAGTCTGTGTGTGCGTGTATGGCCTCAGCAGTCTGTGTGTGCGTGTATGGACTCAGCAGTCTGTGTGTGTGTGTGTGTATGGACTCAGCAGTCTGTGTGTGTGTGTGTGTATGGACTCAGCAGTGTGTGTATGTGCGTGTGTTTGGACTCAGCAGTCTGTGTGTGTGTGTGTGTGTGTGTGTGTGTGTGTGTATCAAGGGAAATGTGTTTGTTTTTTAATAATCCTTGGTGGAAAATAATGAATTCTCCACCAGGGATTATTAAAAAAAAAAAAAAACACATTGTGTCGGGGACGGGGCTTAACACGCAGCAGGGTTAAATGTGCCCCCCTACTTTAGTCCCTGGCCCACCATGTGCCCCCCTTAAAAATGAATCCTAGAGACGCCACTGCTCAAACCATATCAGAATCGCCCCCTACCATTCTCACCCTCCCTCATTCTGTCACACTCTCCTCCCTAACCCTGTCTCATTTACCCCCCTCACCCTGCCACGGTTTCCCCTTTAATCACTGTTACGGCACCCCCAGGCATAAAAGGTTTAAACCGCCGTTTAGTAGATCTTCCCTTTCAGAGACACAGGCACAGCTACTGCAGAACACCAATCCGCCGAACAGGAAACCATATGAATGTCGTAAACAGCCGAATAGGAAAAACCATACAAATAGGTTTACACTCCTAGCAGTCAAACTGGAACAGCATACAATAAATCCCCCAAGAACGAGACAAGGCTCCGTTTTGAGGGTCAAGCATGAACAGACAGAGCTGTGGGTTTATTGTTCTTATATACACCTTAGTACCACCCACAGGGTTTTGGAACACAACCAATAAACACATACAATACACTCAGATACTCCCACACAAAATCCTCCCCTCTGCCTGTGATATAATTTCCTTACACAATGGGTAATGTAATTATCACAAGCAGAGAAATACAATTTTTCCACATTATTCATAACTTGAAAAGTATGCATCACATTCAAATAAAACTTACATTTTTATCAGAATCAACATACTCCAAATACAAACATATGTCAAAATCATCCAAATTGGTCCAGTGGATCACAAAGATAGATCGTAGTCCTTTGTGACCAAAGGAAGTATGGCTTTTCTGCCCAAAACCAGTTCCACAGAGTCTTCTATCCTGGAGATAATTGGGAAGTAATCCAATTATCTCCAAGGACAGAGGCAAAACTCCATTGAACACATGGCAGCAAACGACAATAAAACACATAAAAACATATAACTGTGCAGCCATTGCACAAAACAGGTACATTCAACATATCCCCAGATAGCTCAGATCTGAGCGCACATTATTACTGAATGGCGCTCAGACCACTCGAATACAGTTTAATCGCCATGGAGCTAAAGTATTTACACAGTCAGTTTCATGCGAATGAGCTCCATGGGATTCCTATCTGGACACACATACAGTTCAATTTCCATGGAGCCAAAGTCTTTCCCATAGTCTTTCATTATACGAATGGGTTCCATAGCATAGCTATCTGGGGTATCAACGATCAAACAGGGCCAGCACCGAATGACCCGACTTTCGTGTCTCCGCAGGGGAAAATCAAGCGTTTTATCATGGGGCCATAGTCCAGAGGCAAAAGGCGAGCAACCAGGCTTCTCCAATGCAATGTGGCGAGATTGCTCTCGTCACATCTCTCCCCTTTTCCAAACAGACTAACAGGGTATCTGACCTCCTGCCGGTCAGTGCCCTTGTTAGTCCAGCAGCCCACCCACAACACACAATCCGCAATACAGCCCACCCACAATAAATGGTTACTACACCTGGGTAGAGGAGAAGCTTGTCCATGTCCAGTTGCCTCACCACGGCTGTGTGGGTGACTGGTAGGCTGCTTTGGTGGGTTGCTGAGTGGGCAGAGACCAGCAGTACTCTGCCCTGGTGCCAGCGCTACTGTGGAGGTAGCCTGGTTGAAGCCTGGTTGTTGGAGGGGGAGACCGACTGTCACCCCTTTAGATACCCAGCCCTGCTGCCGGAGGGGGAGACCGACTATCTCCCCTTTGGCTAAACAGCCCTGTCACTGGGGGGCAGAACCGACCGTCCCTACCCCCTGTGTTGTACGTGCAGAGACCACGGTCCCATCTGCACGGTTGTGGGGCTTACTGTCTCCCCCTGGTACGTTAAGCTGCCGCTGGGGAGAGGGGGTAACAAGCTCCTCTTTCATACATACTTCCAGCCGCGGTCGACTGTCTCTGCTCCTGTCTCTGCTCCCAATACAGAGTCCTGCTGCTGGGGCAAGGAGACTGGGCTCTCTATTCCCGGTAGGACACTCTGCTGCTGGGGAATGGAGACTGGGCTCCCAATTCCCTGTAATTCACACTGCCGCTGGGGATCTGAGCCGACTACCCAGCATCCCTGTAGCTCACCCTGCCACTGGAGAGGGAGGACGCTGCTCTCCTCTCTGGGGGACAGGACCACTTGTCTCTGCCCCCTGTAACTCAGCCTGGCGCTGAGGAATGGAGACTGGGCTCCCAATTCCCTGCATATCACACTGCCGCTGGGGACTGGAGACTGGGCTCCCAATTCCCTGCCAATCACACTGCCGCTGGGGAATGGAGACTGGGCTCCCAATTCCCTGCAGTACCTGCCGCTGGAGTTCCTCCCAACGTGCCAGCTGACCTTCTCTTTCTGCCCGGTATTGCAGATTCTTGAACACGCGGTCCCTCATGGACTGCACGTATTTCTCGGCTGGATTGGGTCCGAAGAACTTCAGCTGCAATTTCATCATATTGTCAAACTCTCTCCTTGAGTAGCTGTACTCCACTGCTGGTTCCATCCTGGTGCTGTCAGGGTTGCTGTACTGGGACATGCGTTGCCCTTAACTTGTAAATCCAAAGAAATGGTGTCTCCTGTAGTGCCACTGTTATGACACGTACCGTCGGGTAGATGAAGCCGCCGTTTAGGCAATAATCCCCTTTCTCCAGAAATGCAGTTTAAATCCCGCCGATCGCTAAACTCCCGAACGAAGTCCACGAACACGGCAACTCCCGATCAGCCAAACAGTCGAACGCCTTCCACAGCTAGAAATAACGAAAGCGCTGTCCCAGTAATAATTCCCCCACAAACGAGACCAAGCTCCGTCTTGAGGGTCAAATGAAGTTCTGTTTAATGGGGGCTACCTGCCCGGTATTTATGCAGGTCTCCACAAGGTGGACACTCCCCGAGGGGACCTTGTGGAAGACTGTAACACATATTGGACAGTAGCCAATCGCAGTGGCTTCAATAATAGCCCTTCCCATCTTGCCCACAATTCCGTCTTCTTTACCTTGGAGATAATTGGGGAAGAAACCTAATTATCTCCCAAGGTAGAGACCATCGCCATCTTAAATTACAGTAACAAAAAGACATTAAAATACATAACTACAGAAATACCGAATGCATATGGTTCGTGTAACGTATCCCCAGACAGCCTGGATCTGAGGGCATGTTTTCACCGAATAGCGCTCAGATCCGATGTATCCAGTCGAATCGCCATGGAGTCAAAGTCCTGCACCAGTCCTTCGGTATACGAATGACTCCATGGGATGGCTGTCGGGGTAAAAGTCCATATGAATGAATAAAACTCCCGAACGACCGACGTTCGCATGCCTTGTCGAAAAGGGAGGTAGGCAGCAGCTTTTCAGCGGTGTTCGGTAGTTTAAGTGTCCGTTTTTAGTTCCATACAGTTTGTACCGAACACCGCTCTGTGTTCGTATGTCCCAAAATGGCCGCTGCCTCGTGGTCGACATGCGAACGACGACCACCCGTACGAATGGAATGGAGAGGTGTCTGCGGTTAACCACAACGTTCTAATTGGGGCCAGAAGGTTAACCAGCAGCACACTCCTCTCCTGGGTGGTCGTTCGTTCGGTAGTTTCAATCGGTATTTTGCAACTACACGAACGGGGTTATAGGAACAGGCAATTCCGCGAACAAAAAGGAAACAGACGAACCAACAATGCAGATGAATCTGTCACAGCCACCAATTGTTACGGCACCCCCAGGCATAAAAGGGTTAAACCGCCATTTAGTAGATCTTCCCTTTCAGAGACACAGGCACAGGTACTGCAGAACACCAATCCGCCGATTGCTCTCGTCACAGTCACCTTGTCATAGTCACAAACTGAAGACATTCATCATACACACATGCGCAAATGTTACAGGCAGCCCCCATAAACACCACACTGCAAGCAGCTACCCCACACACATACGATCCCAGACACATACTCATAAAGATATACTTTCACACACAAGTATACTCTTGGTTAGACACACACTTTCATGCACATACACAGGAAGACAATGCCAGACACACTCACAAATACACACACCGGCAGTAATGTATACACGACTGCCAGGCTATGTATAAATGATTAGCATAATTGATTAGCATAATTGATTAGCATAATTGCTAATTAAGTTTGTTTATTGCAAATTAATTTAGTTTGCAAATAATGCCATAACTACAGTTGGAGAGCTCACAACGCAGCGGCACAGGGAGCCGTGACACTGCATGCCTCTGAACAAATAATACAGCATGCCTCTGAACAAATAATACAGTATCCAGCTCTGCAAGCTTGACCTTCAATACAGCTACAGCACCTTATACACACAATGCAACCCCTATTTTTTTTCCACTTTGTGTATTATTGGGGGCCTCATGTTTGAGTTTCGCCTAAGGCCTCACAAAGTCTAGAGCCGCCACTGTTGGGAGCTATGCTCTGCAGTATGGAAATTTAATTGCTGTGGAACTCTGATCTATTAACAATTACTATTGCATTACAGTTGCAATAAAATAATATTATTTTCTTTGTTAAAGGGTTATTCCAACCACCATGACCACTTTTACTTTTAGAAGGTGATAGGTGATGGGAGTCTGTATGTGTAGCATTTCTGCTTGAAGTTATAATTGTACTTTCTTGCTGGGGGATAGTTACACCCACCACACACTTGCCAAATGTCAATTCAGTGCCAAATTTACATCTGTAATCAACACACTGCATGGGAAACCTTCAGTGTTCCCTCCTTCCGTTTTTAAGAATAGTTTTGTTTTTGTTTTTATAACTAAAGTCCTCTTCCATTCCCTTACCAGTTCTGAGTATGTACATATGCTCTGAGAGGGTGAAATGTTCCAATGAAACGCTCACTTGCATTTGACTGGACCACGAGGGAGGCTGTGACATTGGAAGGAGAGTGGAGAACATCGTTGGGTGAAGGTCCCAGTGCATGATTTAAGTTTATGCTTATTTTTACTATTTTTTTTTTTATAAATTCTTTATTTTCGGTTTTGCATAAGTATTGTTACTAACAATTAGACAACATGTTGGTACATCGTTTACAGTAGTTCTCGTAACAATTTTGCTTCATTGTCCGTGGATTTAGTAGTGCGGGCTACTAGTTGAGTGCGGCTCTGGGTGTATCTCGTGTCCAACATGTATGTCCCTTTTCGTTGTTTTGTGTTAGGTAGGGGTAAACTGGGGTGTGAGGTCAATGGGTCTGTCGGGTGGGAAAGGAGGGGGGTGTGTAGTTGGTTCTCCTGCTCTTTGGCCTCCTCTTCGTTGGTGGTTGCGTGTACATATCCAGTTGGGTTCGGGAGGGGGCTCGGCTGAGCCGTGGAGGGGGGGGATGGTTTCAGTGGTGGGTATAGGGTACCTAAGATAGGCTTCGCTGTCGTTGGTAGTGTGGGAGTCGGGGGACGAGGTGGTTTCTCTGTGCGTGCTCGCCCTATCTGTGTCAGTATATTGTCAGTTGGCCGGGGTTGGTGATGGGGGCCGAGCGTTCTTGGTGTGGCGTCCTATCCTCGGTTGGGTTGGTGTCGTTCTGTGGGGCCGCTTAAGTCGGTGTCGTGTTAGGCTTATGGACTAGTCTCTAAGCTGGTTTTCGTTTCAGGAAAGTGGTGCCTCTTTGGTCCGTTCGGTCCACGAGGCTGTGTTGGTCCGAGGGTTAGGGTCAGGGGGTTGGTGTGTTTTAGGTGTCGTCATACTCCCCCCGCTGCCGGTCACTCCTCCTCCTCCGGCGTCTAGGGGGGTTCGGGTCAGGAGGTCTCATGTCTTGTCTTGTCTCGTCTCCCCCCCGGGCGTCCCCCCGCGCCCCCCGGCTCCCCCGCTGGGCGGGGGTTTGTAGTGGGGTAGGGTGTTGGGGCACTGGCGGCACTGGTGGGGGGGTATAGGGAGATGCGGGTGTCTCTCGGTTAAGCTGGGGCATGCTTCCCTAACGGGTCTACGGGTTGTTGGGGTGAAGGGACGTGCGATGACTGTCGCTAAAGGGTGTGGTTAGGTCGCTTCGGGTGTGGGTTGTGGCAGGTGATTCATGTCCCAGAGGTCCCAGGTTTTATGAAACGCTTTGTAGGAGTCGTGTATCTGAGCGGTTAGTTCGTCCAGATCTCTGGTTTCTTTGATCTTGTTGATGATGGTGGGGGTTGTAGGGGTGCGGTGGTCTGCCCATCTCTCCGCAATTGCCCTACGAGTTGCCAACGTTATTCTGGCGGCTAGTTTGTTTTCGCTTCTTGTAAGGGAGTCTAGTGGTTTGTTAAGTAGCATCGTCCACGGTTGCGCTGTGTAGGGCTTGTCAAGGATCTGTGCTATGAGGTTGCTAATTTCAGTCCATAGTGGTTTGATTTTAGGACAATTCCACCAACAGTGCAAGTAGGTGCCTTTTTCGCCGCACAGTCTCCAGCATAAGTTGTCGGGTTTCTGGCCCATTCTGTGGAGCCTGTGCGGCGTCAAGTACCAGCGGAACAGTGTTTTGTACGCCTGTTCTTTGTGGGTTATACACACCGTCAGGGAGTTTGTTGCTTCCCAGATTGCTGTCCAGTCGCTCGAGTCTTCTGGCGGCCCAAGGTCCCGCTCCCAGGCAGTGATGTAGGTGAGGGTAACGTTGGAGATGTGCGTCGTTAGTGTGGTGTATAATCCTGAGATTTGTCCCGAACCTAGTGGTGCGTCGAAGCACCTCTTCTCAAATGGCGTTGGGGGTGCTGTCCCCGCTTGTTTGATCATTGGCTGCTTGGCTAGGTCCCTAAGCTGTATGTAGCGAAAGTAGTCTGCGGTGGTTAGTGTTTCGCTATTTGGGAGGTCCTTGTAGTCAATGATCTCGCCTTGATGGTATAGGTGGAGTAGTCTGGATATGTCTCTTTGGTCAAATGCTTGGAAGTGTTTTGCTACCAGTCCAAGGGGGAAGAGTTTATTTCGGTAGATAGGCGTCACCGGAGATATGAAGGAGGATAGTTGGTATTTGGGATTGAGTTTGTCCCATAGAGCCAGCGTGTGGGTGATCGCCGGTGAGGTGGTTGGAGGGAGGGGCCGATGTGCCGGAGGCACCCACATGTAGGACGATGGCTGGTCCCATCCCATGATGTCGTGTTCCAGGTCTACCCATCGTTTGGCACTCGGTGGGGCGTGCCATTGTTGTATGTGGGCCAGTTGGGCTGCGTTGTAGTATTGCTGGAAGTTGGGTAGTCCCAGGCCTCCGCTGGTCTTGGGGACGTACATAGTTGCCCTGCGGATGCGTGGTTTTTTACCCTTACATATGAATTTGTCAATGGCGGCCTGGAGATCACAGAAATCTTTTTTCCGTATGGGGATGGGTAACGTTTGAAAAAGATATAGGAAGCGTGGCAGCAAGTTCATCTTGACGGTTGTAACTCTACCCAGCCACGAGATCCCTAACTTGTCCCAGCGCTGGAGGTCCTGGTGAGCTGTTGTCAGCAATGGTTTGTAGTTGAGGTCGTACGTGTCATCCAATTTTTGGGGCAATCTGGTGCCCAAGTAGGTGAGGTGTGTCGTGGTGACTTTGAATGGAAACGAGTGCCGCAAGATGTGGAGTTGTTGTGCGTTCATTGCCACGGGCATGAGGATGGACTTTGTCAGATTGAGTTTGTACCCTGAGAAGTTGGAGTACTCGGATATCACCTCCAAAGTGGCGTGTAAGGATGGGAGCGGGTCCGCTAAGGTTAGGAGGTCGTCGTCCGCATACGCCGCCACCGCGTACTCTTCCCGTCTGATGCGGATGCCTCTGATCTCTGGGTGATTGTGTATGGCCTGCAGGAGTGGTTCTAGCGAGATTGCAAATATTAGGGGGGACAGGGGGCAGCCCTGTCTAGTTCCATTCGTGATGGTAAAGGTTTGGGCTTCGATGTTGGGTAGGAGCAGTCTGCCCGTAGGACGGTTGTAAATTGCCGCCAAAGCATTCAGAAATCCAGTCGGGAATTCCAGGTGGGATAGGATGTTGAAAATGTATGGCCAGAGAAGGCGGTCGAATGCCTTCTCGGCATCCAGCGAAAGCATTACTGCCGGAATGGTCCGGTGTTGGGTATACCATATTGTGTTAAAGGCTCTCCGTGTATTATCCGATGCCTGTCGTTTTGGGATGAACCCGACCTGGTCTGGGTGGATCAGCTGGGGGAGGTAGTCATTGAGGCGGTTGGCCAGTGCTTTTGTGAGGATTTTCAAATCCGTATTCAGAAGTGAAATGGGCCGATAGTGGCCTGGTTCCAGGTGGTCCTTGCCTGGTTTAGGCAGGAGGCATATGTCGGCTGCGAGCATGTCCGGGGGGAGAAGTTGTCCCTGGAGTATGGAGTTGAAAGTTTTGCACAGGTGCGGTAGGAGTGTCGCCTGGAACGTTTTGTAGTAGAGGGCGGTAAAACCGTCGGGTCCTGGACTCTTCATTGGTTTTAGCGTTTTGAGCACTAGTGCAAGTTCTTCGCCCTCTATGGGTGACTCAAGCCGTGCTTGTGCCTGTGCGGGTAACGTGGGCAGATTAAGTGATTGTAGGAAGGAGGAGATTCTGTCCTTTTGGGACGTGTCGCCTGTTGGCGGTGGTGGGTCAGAGTGGTTGTAGAGGTTTGTATAATATTGTAGGAATTCCTGGGCTATTATGTCCGGGTTGTTCGTGATCTCCCCTCTGCTGGTTTTGATCTTGGTAATTCTCTTGTTGTCCTGTCGTTTTTTAAGGCAGTGTGCCAGGAGGGAGTCCGCCTTGTTCCCTTTTTCGTAACAGCGTTGTTTAGTCCACATGAGGTTCCACGCTACATCCGCCGTGGAGAGTCGCCGAAGATGTTCTCGTGTGGTGGCGAGCTGCTTGAGTAGGTCGTCTGAGGGGTTCTGCTTGTGTAGCTTTTCCAGTTTCGTTAGGTCAGCTAGCGCTTCCATGAGGTCTTGGAGACGGCGTTTCTTCTGGGCTGTGGCGATTGCGATCAGTTGGCCTCGGATGGTCACTTTGTGAGCTGCCCACACCGTCGCCGGGGCCATGTCCTCCGTGGCATTTATGTCGAAATAGGTTTTGAGGTGGTCGGTTATAGCGTGTACCGTTCCTTTGTCTCGGAGGATCCATGGGTTGAGGCGCCAACGCCATGGACGGGAGAGCCGCGGGATCCTGAGGTCCAGTGTGATTTCCGCATGGTCCATCCACGTGATGTTGCCGATGGACGAGCGGATCGTCCAGGGGTGGAGTGCTTGGGAGATTAAGAAGCTGTCTATGCGCGAGTATGACCGGTGCGTGTGGGAGTAGTAGGTGAAGTCTTGGTCTGCTGGGTGTTGGGCCCTCCAGATGTCCAGAAGTGTCGTCCCCCCGAGGAAGGTTGCGTATAGCTTATCATTCCTGTTTGGTGCTGGCGCCCTGTCCCCGTAGGCTCTCCGATCCATGGTGGGTGAGTGTGTCGCGTTTAGGTCTCCTCCTATAATTAGGTATTGGTTAGAGACGCCGTCGAGGTGGGCCTTGAAGGTGTTCCAGAAATTGGCGTCAGGTATCGTTGGCGCATAGAGGGAGCAGATTGTGAGTGGGGTTGTGCCCACGTGTCCCGTGAGGATCAGGTATCTCCCGTCGGGGTCTTGAATTGTGCGTATGTCTTTGAGTGGGCAGGAGTTGCGTAGGAGGATTGCCACTCCTTTTTTCTTTGGGTCCGGGGAGTTGGCTAGGAAGTGTCGTTTAAAGTGTCTATTGGTCAAGGGAAAGCTTTTCTGGTCTGTGAAGTGGGTTTCTTGGAGCAGGATTATATCCGCCCCTGTGCGGTTGGCCCAGCGGAGTAGCCCATGTCTCTTCCCTGGAGAGTTCAACCCCTTCACGTTGAGGGAGGTTAAGCGAGTTTTCACATGCGGTGGGTTCATGGCGTGCCTGGCCCTGGGGGGTGGGGGTAGATTGTACTTGGTATTGGGCGGGTGGGTGGGTGGAAGATCCCCCGGGCAGCGGGACCCGGGGCGCGCGGGCGCGGCGGGCCGGGGGGACAGTCACAGAGGGTGTGGTGGGGAATAACTGGGCTTATCGATCTGGCCAGTCGTCTGGTCGGCGGGAGGGCTCGGTCTCCTATCCTTGTAGTGGGATTGGAAGTCACAAGTCCCTAGGGAGGTGGGCGGCAGGTCGTGGCAGGTCCTGCCTTCAGCCTGCCTGTTTCGCGGTTATGTTGGCTGAGCACCCGATGGGGGGGGCAGGGAGAGGGGGGGGGGGGCAAGTGTGTGAGAGTGTACGGCTTTTGTTTGCGTCGGTCGCCCTGCATCCATCCCGCTATCTTGGGGGGGTGCAGGTGCCTTGTGTGGTAGCGTGGTACGTGGAGGCTGGTTATACAACCTCTGCATATGTGTGTACATATTCAACATGGCAACTATTCAACCTCGTATGCAAAACATCAATATAACATCATAAAGAAATGCATTTTCATTACATTTGTGTTATTTACAAAAAGCTTAACGTGGTATCTATACATGTTGAGGCGTGCGAGAGCACCCAGCCGGGCACAGCTTGTGTCTAGATTTCCCCTGTGAGTGGGCTATGATGTTGAGTCTTGGCCGGCCCCGTTGTGTGTAGTGTTATATATGCTCGGTGTCTGCGGTCTGCGGTTTGTCTGTCTGGGTGCCCTGTGGTGCCTCCCTGTCTTGGTCAGGTCCCTAGTGGTGTCGTTGCTTTCGGTCTGGACCCTCCCGATTCCCTGTTGGGCTTGTCTCTGGTGCCGGAGCTGGGGTGTCCACTGTGTCCGTCCCACGTATACGTCACTTCCCCGTGGGCGCCTCATAGCCCCTCAGCGGTAACGCTCTAAAGAGTGTGGGTAGTTGGGTGGGGGCCCTTCCCCGACTCTAGGCGTGGTTGTCGGCATATGTGTTGCAGCTGGGGTACTACGTCTGCCCGCTACGGGGTACTACGTCCTAACACTGTGGTCTGGGGCTTCTGGGAGTTGTTGGGTGAGGCTGTATCTGGTGGTTTGTAGTCCGTTAGGGTCGAGTGGTCAGTGAGGTATACAGGTCAGATGGTTTAGACCCCTGGTCCCCTGTTGCTGGTTGACGTGTAGCTGGGGTGGGTGGTGGGAATGGCGGTTAGGCCGCCCCCCAGCCGTCTGCCCTGGTGGGCCGGCCGCCCGGCGTGCCATCGTGTGTTTCTAGTCAGCTGCGGTCCGGGAGTGTGTGGGTCCGTCCCTAGAGTTGGGGCTGAGTCCACATCAGGTCGTTGGTCGTCCTGTGGCCCGTCTGGGACATGTGAGCGGGGGTCAGTGTGTGCGTCCCCTGGTGTCGCTTTGGTGTGGTGTGGGTCCGGTTCTGTAGGGTGTGTTTAGTCGGTCTGCGTCCTGTCTGGGCCTGTCTCTGGGGGTGGTATGGACCCCGGGGGTGGCCATCACAGGGGGGGTCTCTGGTCACCGGTCTGACGGGTATTGAGCTTGGGATGCATGTCTGTTCCGGGCCCGCTATTCGGATGCTTGGTGGGGTGTCCCCCCGAGTTGCGTAATGCCGTCGTGTGGGGGTGTTGCTCCGTGGTTCTTCCCCGGGGTACCCCCCCGTGTAGCCCCTATTCAGTCGGACAGTCTGCTCGGCCCCTTGCCGGGGTGTCTGCGGTCCCCCTAAACTGTGTGGTCCGTCAGGTGGGGGTTCGAGGTGTGTAGCGGTGGGGTGTGACTGTGAAGCCCGTCTGAGGGCCGGGCACTGCCAGTTGTGGTCGACCCCCCCAGGTGGCGATGGGCCCCTTGCTGTGTCCCTAGTCTTGTCTGTGAGGCGTGTCATGTTCCTTGAGGTCTTGCCCACCCCCCCTCTCCCTCCCGGTTGCCCCCCTCCTGCCTCCCCCCCCCCGCCCGTCCCTTGTGGGTGTTCGGTGGCTGCGGGTGTAATGTGTGTGATTATGGTTCCCAATTTATACTTGCAGCCCTGAGATCATAGTTCATGGGGAGAAAGTGTCTGGTTCAATAGTCCCTGTCCCCTGCATGCTGTGCTGTCCTCTCCTGACGTCTCGGTCGCCGGGGATCTCCAGTTCTGTGGCGAGCGCTGTCTACGGGTTGGTGGATTTGATGCTCCGTCGCTGCGGCTGTGTGTGGTCTTTGGGAACTGGTTCGAGAGTTCTCTCAAGAGAGGGTCAGGCTCATTGTGTGGGGTCGGTCTGTGGCCTGCTGGGGTGCGTGGTTCTGGTGCTGTGTCGGTGGTGCTGATACCGTGTCCGGTCGTTGCTCCCGCCGCCTCTGTGGCTTGTCGTCTAGTTGCGTTCGGTGTCAGGCCTGGGTGTCTCAGCGCGTTGTTGCTGAGTACGCCTATCTCTGGCCGGTAGGTTGTGGTGAACTGCTTGTGATGTGGCAAATCCCGAGGCAGTTGGGGGAGGCTCAGGTAGCCGCGGGAGGCCCAGGTGGTCCAGGAGAGCAGGGATTTCCGTGGCATTAGAGATGGAGTGGAACCTGCCCTCCCTACGGACTATGAGCTTGAAAGGGTGGCCCCAAGCGTACCTGAGGCCATGCTGTGTGAGGTGCTGAGTGAGGGGGCGCAGGTCCCGTCTTCTTTTCAGGGTGGTCGGCGCCAGGTCCTGGAACAGCTGGACTTGGACGCCCTCTACCTCTATGGGAGTCTCTCTGGCTGCCTTCATAATGTGCTCCTTTATATGGTAAAAGTGGAGTCGCACTATCACGTCCCTTGGGGTGGCTGTGTTGGTGCTAGGCGCTCTCAGTGCCCGGTGTGCCCGGTCCATGAGCAAGTCGGTGGTGGAGGCTTCTGGCAGGAGATTCTGGAACACTTCTGTGAGGGTGGCGGTGAGCAGCTCCGTGGAGATGGTCTCCGGTATGCCCCTCACCCTAATGTTATTCCTTCTGGTCCTGTTGTTGAGGTCCTCGTTGGAGTCCTCTAGGGAGCGCAGTTGCTCGCGGAGGTCTTGTAGCTCCCCGCCATGCGCCTGCACGGTCTCCAATGCCTCCGCCATTTTTGTTTCAGTGGCATGCGTTCGGGCCGTCAGATCTGCCATCCCCTCCATAATCGGCCCCAGCTTCTTTTCCAGCTCTTCTGCCACCGATTTGCGGATGTCGGCAAGGAACCCTTTCATGTCCCGCCGTGTCAGTGGGGCTTCCGCCCGGTCCGAGACTGTGTGGCTGCTCATCTCGGAGTCAGTGTCGGACGGGGAGTGTGGCAAAGATGGCGCCTGGGCCTTCGCGGCCTTTTGCTGAAAAATTGGCGCGACTGCCGAGTTGCGGGTTTTCTTGCCGCCGCCCATGTAGACGTGAGCGGGGGTCTTGGGATGGGTGTCCGGGCGGGTTGGGGGTGTCGGGGGGGCTCGGGTGCTTAAGGTGGCTGTAGAGAACTGCGAGGCTGAGGCAGAGCTCGGGGATTACGCGGCCATTTCCCTGCTCAGCCAAGCTCCGCCTCCCTTATTTTTACTATTTAATAGGAGAGAGACATTATAACGGACCGTTTTGCACACAAGGGGTAAAAACCGTTTAGGCGATCGGCTCCCTTTCCAGAGATACAGGCACAGCTATTGTAAAACACCAAACTCACGACCCGCCAATAAGTGAATGCTCCAAACTCCCGAACGGCATGCAATATAGCACTCCAAACACACGACCTGGAACCAGACGAATAGGAAAAGCATCCAATCGGCTTACACTCCTAGCAATCAGTCTCTATCAATGTTCAGTAAATCCCCCCAAAGACGAGACAAGGCTCCGTGTTGCGGGTCAAGCAGTGGTCTGTTTAATGAGGGCTACCTGCCCAGTATTTATGCAGGTCTCCCACCTGGTGGACACTCCCCTAGGGGACCAAATGGGAGACTGTGACAAGGGACAGACAAGTAGACAAATAGGACACACAGTCACATTGTATTCCCACAATGCATCCTGGCTTCCTCCCGTCTGCCGTGGAGATAATTGAGAAGTAATTCAATTATCTCCCAAGACAAAGGCAAATCGCCATTATGCACGTGGGGATACTAACACACGAATTACTATTAAAATACACTAGGTGAGACACATAACATTAAAAGCATACATTTAACATATCCCCAGATAGCTCAGGTCTGAGCGCACATTATTAAGCGAATGGCGCTCAGACCACTCGAATACAGTTTAATCGCCATGGAGCTAAAGTATTTACACAGTCAGTTTCATGCGAATGAGCTCCATGGGATTCCTATCTGGGGTATAACACATACAAGCAAAACTACCGAACTGTGTCCGATTTCAGTTCCATGAATTAAGCGAATACCGCTGTGCATTCGCATGTTTAAAATGGCCGCAGCTTCAGGGAGGCTAATTGCCGGCACACTCCAGCTCCCAGGTGGTCCAGTCATTCGTGCGGTTGTTCGGTAGATTGAATCTACCGAACACCAGGCAGAAAAGAACGAATAAATCTTTTCTGCAGGAAAAAAAGATGTCTTTTAACACGGGGCCATAGTCCAAAGGCAGCAGGCGGGCAAC